GCGTTATAACCGAAACATCAATTTTTCAGGCCAAAATACATGCCATGTGACAACTTACCTTTGTAAAAGAATTTATTTTATGTTAGATGAAAAATAAACACTTCTCTCTCAAGTGTGTCACACATTTTGAAAGAAATGAGCGGCTTTTGCCTGGCGCAGCCTCTTAGCGGCGTCGCGGGTTGCGGACGGATGTTGTGAGCGTTCAGGATTGCTAACCCTAATCACTTTTCTCCGGAGATGAAAACGCGTGAAAATTCGGATCCTTCATAAGGTACGCGCCAGTAATACCTTGAACTTGAACACACGCATGAAATGCACCAAATAAGAAATCCGGGCGATGTTCGAGGACACAAATGCTTAGAAATCACCACTGTAGTCAAGTAAACAAACACGACGACACGGGCGTTTCTGCCGTCTTGAGAGCGCCGCCACGACATCGCCACTCGAGTAGGTGGATCTTCCCTTCCAGTACGTGCTGGGTTATCACAGCGACACACAACGAAAATTCACAGTCAAGGATAGCGCTTTTACGCGGAACGATGAGATGAACGCCGTCTACGGCGACGATCACAACGTTGATCACAACCGACGCCATGTTCGCGGATAGAAGCAGCCGGCCCGCAACGGGCATGCAACGCGCGCGAACACTTCTCCTCGACCTGCTATTGGTCTGTCGTTGCGGTTGTTGGTTTCCAACGCAGCAGAGGGATGCACGCACGTGAACGACACGTGCGTGCGTCCCTCCGTCGCTAGGGCAACTGAAGCCTCTCTCTTCGCTTCTCCCGCTTCTTCGAGCACCCTCCTTGCCCCGCGAGTGCCGCTTGCGCAACGCTTGCGGCTCGCGCCATCAGCGCCGTTATCTAGTGTCGCACAGGCAAGCGTGCTCGCTGCTCCGGTCGTCGGCGCGGTCGGCGGGCTGTGCCAGAAACCGCACTATAACCGGTATATCCCTTCGCGCGCCTGCGTTTTAAGCGGTATGTAATTACATGGAGTTCTATGGGAGGCGAACCGGTGGTTTAAAAAAACCGCGTTATACCCGGTCCTGCACTATAAGCGGTTACGTTGTAAGTGGTCTATACTGTATTGGGCCACGTGAAGGGAAGAATAAAAAACATAAAAAGTATTTTTATCGCTTTAGTGTTTGTACAATGCATGCCAGAAAACACGCCGCAAAAATGCAGTGCGCCAAGCGAGAATATGGGCACTGGCCAATTTAAGCCAAGTCAAGTTAACACAAGCCAAGCCAAGACTACCGGCCGTGTTTACGCAGTTGTACAACATGAGGTGTTTGTTTATGCGGAAAGGCGAGAACAAGTATGAGTGTGATTTCTGTATCGGGTCCAGCAATCCTTTTTCTGCCTGCGAATTTCTTAGTTTCTGCTCCAGAGTAGTCTGGTGTATATGTGCTGGTGCTTTTGCTTCGTGCCTTGCTCTGCTTGTGGGCTGCCGAGGAGCTCACGCGGAGGAAAAAGGAACTACCAGACAAGCGGTGCCGTGCTGCTGCGTATCTACCAAGTCGCCAAGTGGATTGTAAATGGAAGGACCTGAGCAGTGAGGATGAGTGCAGTCAAAATGTAAACTGATATTTCTTTGATTTTCATTGCCTTTTCACTTCTGCTATGCCTTCGAGAGCGGTAAATTTACGCGGCCTCGACTCACGTTACAATAGTAATTTCTTTTTTCTTTTTTTCTTTCTTTTTGAGGGCATCAAAACTTGCCCTCGCATTATATTTGTGGTCGCGTTATATTCGTGCAAATATGGTAATACTGTTTATTTTTTTAAGGAATGAAAAGCTTTTTTTATGTTATATTCGTGGTTGCATTATATTAATGCAAATATGGTATAGCTTACCTAGTTCTTTTAAGCCACAAGAATTTAGTCTTAGTGGGCACTCACAATGTACAAGTGACTAGAAATAGTAAAAACGTTTGTAGTCGAGCTGATTTTTGTCTTGCCAAGAGCAATGGAAGATGAAGTTCGATATTCTAACGGAATCCTGTCGCTTATATCTCTATAAAATAAACCTTGCCATCTTCCTTTAAACTTTCTTCAGTTCGTCAATTTGATTTTTCCTGTGAGGGTCCCACACCATTGCTGCATAATCTAAAGTGGGCCAATATATGTTTTGTACACCACAAGGTCTACTGCAGGTGGAGCATATTTCAAATTTTGCCTCACATACCAAAGTGTTTTAATTGCCGTACAAAAAAATTTCATGAATGTGTTCGCTACAACTCAAGTCCTTTGAAATTGTGACTCCTAAATATTTAAAACTTGGTACTTCTCTTAACAGAGAACCAACAGAGACTCGTCGAATTGGTAGTTGAAAGGAAGAGCATTTTTAGTTTTATTGGTTATTTGGGCAAAAACTGTTTTCTGTTTATTAATTTTCATTTTACATTTTATGCAGCAGTTCTGAATAGACATGAGAGATATGCTTAACTTATGTCGGTCATCATCAGTTTTAATCCTTAAGTATATCAGACAATTGTCAGCGAATAACCGTAGAGTAACATCTGGACTGACCTTTAGCAGCAATATCATTAAAATATATTAAAAACCATTAAAAGTAAAACTAGCCCTAATACTGACCCTTGAGGGATGCCCAGAGGGTACCGCCGATCAGACTTGTACGTAATACGTTACAAGTAACGAAATTACTTGTAATCCCTTACATTTATCAGTAATTTAGTAACGGAATAATTACATATTTTCTAGAGTAATTTTAATGTAATTCCCTTACATTTTTGACGTAACGGATTCCTTGCAATCCGTTACATTTTTTTTCCAAACCAACCCCCCCCCCCCCCCTTTAAATAAAGGGTTGTTTTTATTTTGGTAAAGTCGAGCGCGGTGACACTGTCACGCGAATTGACCAGCGCAAAGAGAGGCTTGGCAGTCTTCAGTTCCGCAAAGCCTTTTTTTTTCTTTGCAACACTAAGCCCCTGAATCTATTTTTTTTTAGACCCTAACAACAATGTCAAAAAACCCAAATAAACGTTTTTAGAAAAAAAAAAAAAAAGGGGGGGGGGGCAAGGTTATATTCGCTTTTTTTTAGTCCGTTTGTCTTTTCTTTGCGATTGAAGACGCGGAGAGGGTAACACCAAGTGATTGTGTGCCTCCTCGAGAAGCTCGAGGCGGTAAGTGCGCAGAAAAGAATTAACAGTATTCTTCTCGGTTATAGTGACTACGACCATTTTCATAATGTCACAACACGAGTCAACGCTCCGTCAACCCTAAAATTCACTAAAGGAGATGTGATAATATTTGGAGCTGTTTTTGCCACAAGCATCCTCGTTCGTTGCTGCTCGTTGCTTCTCTTAGAAAACGGGATGTATTTGTTTTCTGCATCTTTCATATTATTTGACCCTGTTTTAAAAGCTACTTACTTTTGTGTAGTCCAATTTCTAGGGTTGGCCCATTTTATTTGTGAATTCCAGCCAGGTTATCTGCACCTCAGTCACCCTTTTTGTGAGTCAGCTTTTTGCGAGCACTTGGAAAATGGTAATAGTTTTCCTTTCTTCTTCCTGTTTTGCCCCAGCAGGACACATTTTATCTTAGACAGATATTTTTGCAAATAAAACATAATGGTGGCTGACGTAGACTTGATATTCTCGGCTTGAAGGGAGAGTGAAATTCGTGAGTGGAGCCATAGCGCGGCTTGCTTAGTACTCTGCCCTTCGATCGCTGCCCGTGGCATCAGCGGACGTCTATCTGGACAGCACCGGAGTAAACTGCAGTCGGTTCGTGCTCCGTGCGTTTTTGAACGGCACCAAGAAAGGTACACACGGCAAACATGCTTTACATCTCCTTGTTTTAACCGACGTTCTAATCAATTATTGTTATGAGTGTCCTTTCTTTTTAATTGCTTCTATTCATAGACTGAAAACCTTTTTTTTTATTCACCAACGTCTCAACCGAGGCTCGACCTGTTCATAACCAAAGAAAGAAGAATGTCGAGCGAAACCTTATTCATTATTTAATTATCACCTTACTCTTACAACTATGCTGGCAATATATGTCGGTATAGTAAGACGGACATAAATCAATTCTTATTCTGGTTTTGGCTAGATGTATGATTACTTCCTCAGCTTCGCGATTTAGACAATGGAGAATTTTTGTAGATCGGTCCGATGACTCCGATAACGATACCCGATACACCGCCGCCGCCTTTGCGAATGCATCATATCGTTATCGAGGGTATCGGAACGATGTGCTACTAAACTCTCGAATATCAGGCAGCGACTGCAACGACGAAGCTTTGTTCTATCTTCAAGGTAAATAGTACTTCCATTGCTTTGCTGAAAAAGCTCGATGCAGAGCATGAAGCATTCGTGAGGAACAATATGGCACTCCCGCCCAGTGCCTCAGTTCAGAGGGTGTTCTGCATAGCAGTCGACATATTGAGTAAGAAATAACGCAAAATGTATGACGAGACTTTCGAGAGCCAGCTGTTGCTCAAAGTACTCAAGGTCATCAAATGGAACAGGTGGCAACAATAAGAACTTGAATAATTTTCTTCCCTTTGTTTCTTACTTGAGGAGAATAATGTTAAAAGTAACGCCACGAAAGTAACGGATTACTTTTGGGGGTAACGGTCAATTACTTTTATGGGAGGGTAATTGTAATTGTAACAAATTACAATTGAGCCTCGAGTAATTGTAAATGTAATTCCTTACTATTTTTCAGTAACGTGTACAAGTCTGCCGCCGATGCACCCAAACACACACCGTTGATCTCTACAAACTGTGCACGATAAGATAAGTATGGCTGAATCCACAATATTACATTATGATTCTCGTTATGTCATGATTCATGACCCAATAATACAAATGATCAGTTCAATTGAAGCTCCAAGGTCAACCAAATTATCAACAAGATGGCATAAAAAAGAAGAAAGAAAAGACTGCAAGGAAAAGGATGAATGATGATAGCTTTAAAGTTTGAGGACACGGAGAAAGAAGAAGTGAAATCCAAATTTTCCGAATGCAACACATACCTTTGGCACAAAGCGCTTTGCGGACACGGGCCGAACAGCCTTGGCCCTGGCCGCTTCCCGAGCTTCCCGGTCGGGCCCGTGCAGCCGCCGCATGTGCTCCTTGAGCTTGTCCTTGCGCTTGAACTGCTTCCCGCACAGGGCGCACAGGAACTCCCGGTGTTCCGAGTGGCACAGCATGTGCAGCTTGAGCTTGTCCTGCCGCGGGAACACCTTTGGGCACTGTGGGCACGGGAAGCGCTGGTTCGTGTGGAAGGCACGGATGTGCTTCCGCACCTGGTTGTACTCCAGGAACTTCTGCAATGCCAGAACGAAATGAGTGTTACCTTTGTGGGGCAGCTTGTGCACGATTCCACCCAATTGGTTTTAGCAATTTGATAATATAATATTGGCATTCATTAGAATTGTTCAGGCTGCAGAGAGTCACAAAAAGGTTAAGTATACGAGCCAGTAGCATTGCGATGAAGCTATGACTCATATAAGGTTAAAATTTCATACCCTAATATCATTGGAAAGACTGGACAAACAGATGTGAAAGCGCATTACGCAGCTTTCAGCTATCTTGTTTGGTTTAAATAACATGGTTTCTGTCTATATCAGGACATTTTTCTAAAATGATACTAAAAAGGAACGTCGAGAAACTGTCACCACCAGCTTTAGAGAAGAAACTTGGTATAGCCAGATTTGTATAAAACATGTTGGGAATGCAAATAACAATAAACCCTGCTTATAAACAGCTATACATGTGCAAATTGTGGATCCCGAGTTCGAAGTAAACTCGAAGTGAACAGTGGTCTCGTCCAAATATTTGCGAAATATTGAATAGTTTCTTCTAGCCTTTCATTACCATGCACCATGCTTAAAATGGAAAATTCAGCTAAACTCGTCATGGAGGTGAAAGTTAGCACTGTGGCATCATAGATTGAGAGGCGCGAGTTTCACAAGCCGTACAGCTGTTCACAGGTGTGTACTCCTTTACATATGCACTATGCACAAGAGTTTGCTTGATGGGGTAGGTTGATCAAGTGCAGAGAACCTACGGCAGACACCTTTGCATGTTGCCTGTGTAGGGCATTCATTCTCCGCTCAGGAGACGCTGCTTTCTGGGGCCATTCACGACGCTAGGATTTGGTGCGTTCATCTGGTGGCGCAGTGCAGAACAGCACAGCCTGATTGCATAGTTTATGCACAGGAGCACATATATACAAAAAAAGGATACACTTGAGTTTCACAAATACCGCAAAAACAAAACAAACAAAAAATTACAAAGGCATGATCATGCTGACAGAGAGCACAGGCTGTCTCGCACAAACCACGCTCTGTGTGCGGCTTGTGATCGATTTTTCATTCTTTTTTTTATATATATATAAATTTTTATTTTACATATTTATTTATATTTCTTTTATTATTATTTTCATTCAAAACATGTTGTTCTCGCCGTCATATATGTCTTCAAGTTCAAATTATTTCTCCTTCCAGACCAGCTGTGCTGGTAGCTCAGTGGCTGCAGCATCCGACTGCCACTGCCGGGGTTCAAACTTAAACTTTATATACAACCTCATCGTATGTAATGCTCTCAGTGTTTTCTCATAAAAGCGACCCATAAAACAGATTCTGTACGAAAGTAGAGGAAGCAGCCCTAATCACTACTTTACAAAACAAAGGAAAAGCATGGAACAAGCGCCGAAGCACGTCGTAGCCTAGTGTTGCTTGACTAGCAGCTAACCCGTTGGTCGCATCTTTAATATCGGTTCCAGTGGAATATGTTACTTCACTTTGTTGCAGTATCTCGGCTGTGATCATATTTCATGCCACTAAAGCAATAATTTAATTTGGTTTGATTTTTGACTGGAGTTGCTTTTCTAATAAATAAACATTAATTGTTGGCTCGCAGAACAAGCAAAGTGACGTTCCACATTGCAAAGCTAATAAGTGGATGAATCTTTGCTTTTATATAAGGTACTTACTGTACCAGCTTACAAAAAGCAAAGAAGTGGTCATAAGCAGAATGCTTCTATCCACGTCCATTCCTTTTAGGCAGACATGCGGCGAATCATTGAGGAGTGCATTATGGCTCTGCGCATGCCTGTTCAGACACACTTCAAAAAAGCAGAGCAGCAATCAAGGTTTTAAATCAAACAAGGGCTCTTTCAAAAATCAATCGACTGAAGTAAGAATGGCTGCAAAACTTACTTTCTTACACGTAGGACAGGTGTACATTCCATTTTCATAGTGAGAGTATACATGGTCCTTGAGGGCAGTGATCACATGAAACTTCTCCTTGCAGATGGGGCACTCAAAAAATCTCTCTCCATTGCTGGAAATAAAAAAAATATACCGTATATATAATAATAATATTGTGAGAAGTCAGTTAACTTTTATTATAAGCTGACTAAAGTTGACCACAAAAAAATGAGAGGAAAAGGTGTTTCATTTTAAAACTCCTCCATGGCCAAGATGAAAGGAAAATTCCTTTGTTTAGTCACAACACTAATAAATAACTTCTTTCATAGCACACATGACTGCACAGCACAGCACTGGACACAAGAAAGAAATGTTCACTTTTAAATCACACTTCTTAATGTGGAAGCAAATCATGCAGATTAATCAGTTTTGTACATAGTGGTAATTGATTGGGATGATTTAAATTGTGTTGCTGCTCACCCTTGAACAAAACAAAACCTCTCTAGTACACCACACTTATACCCAAAATCCAGAGCAGGTTCGTTTAACCTTTCCCAAACTTATCTAAAGGTTGCTATGCACAGCTGAAAATAACAAACTATTTATTGGCACACCTACAAATTAACCCATTCATTGTCAAAGAAAGTGTATAACTCGTTTGCATTCCATTACATAATCTAGAGAAGTTGTGAACATAAGCTGGTAAATGACACCGCGGTGAATGTACAGTCAAGCCCGGTTATATCACACCTGGGTATTTCGGGTTATTGTTTATATCGAACAGTCCAAACATTCCCTTGAAAATCACATGTAATAGTATAGGAGCATTGTTTTTCGGTATTGAACGCCAATGGCGGGGACACTCGAAATGGCGAACTAAAACAGCGGCCCGTGGCTACTCCTGCGGTCAGATTGCACCAGCGGTGAGCACATAGCTTGCGTTGCGGGGCTGGCAGACCGCCAAGTCAGCCTATGTGCACGGGATAAACAGCAAAAAGGCAATTGTAAAAAAAAAAAAAAGGTGGCGGATGGCAAAAGCAAAAAAAAATAATTTAGAGAAGCCGCAAGATGTTATCCATTTTGTGGGAACACATCTAGTCGGCCATGACCAGCATCCCGTTCGCGATAAGCCCAAGCTTGGGGGCTAATGTCCCGTTCCTTCGTTTCAAACCATGTTTCAAGTGGAAGCCGTTTACAATTCCCTGTAACACCGAATTAGAGCGCAGCTCTTGAGGAGGAGGAGGGAAGGGTACTGCGGTCAAGTGACCTGGGGGGGTCACGTGACCTTGGGGGGTCACGTGACGATGCCGATGATGCCATCAGTGACGTCACTGATGACGTCATCAGTGACGATGACGATGCGGATTCAAATGACGTCATCAGTGACGTCACTGATGACGTCATCAGCGATGATGACGATGACGATGCAAATGTCAGTGACGTCATCAGTGACGTCACTGATGACGTCATCCGTGATGATGACGATGACGATGCGGATGTTGGTGACGTCATCAGTGACGTCACTGATGACGTCATCCGTGATGATGACGATGACGATGCGGATGCCGGTGACGTCATCAGTGACGTCACTGATGACGTCATCAGTGATGATGGCGATGACGATGCGGATGCCGGGGACGTCATCAGTGATGATGACGATGACGATGCGGATTCCGGTGACGTCATCAGTGACGTCACTGGTGACGTCATCAGTGATGATGATGATGATGATGATGCGGATGCCAGTGACGTCATCAGTGACGATGACGTCATCGGGGAGGTCACGTGACCTCGGCGGGTGGGGTCACGTGACCTCGGGAGGGTCACGTGACCTTGGGATGACCTTGAGGTGACCTTGGTTACGCCGACGCCGACGGCGACGCCGACGGCAACGCTGACGGCGACGCCGACGCCGCTCAAGCCGGGAACGGGCCCCTAAGAGCTGCGCTCTAAAAAAGGACACGGGCACGGCGCATGCATAGGGAGGGCAGGAAATGCTCGCTGTTGGAACGGTAGCCTGCGCTCATTCCAGGAACACCGCTGTCGCTGCGCGACTCCTAAACCCCAAAATAAAATAAGCAAAAAAAAAAAAAGGCTTTGTCAAGTCGAGTGTGTCGACAACAATGGTTGAGTAGTTGCGCTTTGAACGCTTTGCTTTATCTTTACGATGGTGAATTCAAAGTTACGAATATTCGGAACTTCTAATACTTCGCAAATATTGCTTCCTGTTCGATTCGATTCGCTTCACACTTTCGCCTTTTACGCGGAACTCGGTGATTGGTGTCAACTCGCGGTCGAGTTCCCCGTTTTGTTTTTGGACTGCGCAATATGGTTTGGGGCTTGGCAAAGCCAAAAAGCCAACCTAGGTGCCATTTACAGCGAAGCTGTTTATGGCTAGGGTTCCGGGGATTTTTCGTGTGCGTCAACAAAGCTCGGAGAGGGCTCGCACCACCTGCTCTTTGTCGCGGTTCCAAGCACTTGGGTGACTAGTTTCCTTTCCTTCCGCCGGGTGGCGGTCCCATTACATATGCCTAGTTTCCTCCGGCTCCTTGGGGCGGTGATAGTACTCGACATGCGTGTGTGTACCTTTCGTCACGATGGCCACCGATCAAGACAACAACTGTGTTCGCACCTTTGTTCAAAATTCTGTCACATTTGTGTCGTGTGCTAAACAGCTTCGCTGGTTATCCACCTTCACAAAATGGAATGGCTCATGATTTTTTTTTTTTCTGTATGAAGTGCTGCATGGAAGATTATTTGCACGCAGAAGCGCGATCTGTCCTTTGGTTGCCATGATGTCAGGATTGCAGAGTTGGCGAAGTGATCCTGGCACAAACGCTGCGATAGATTTGGTGAAGGACTACAATTTGCAATGGCACGTGCATCGTTGTGAGCACAAATGCGATGAACAACACTCATTACACTACAGTCCTTCCAACAATCCCTACAATTCGGATATGGATTTACGGCTGACCTTGGCTATCAGCGATATCTGGCTCGCATTATTTTCTGCTTGACTTTCCAATTCATCAGTTTGCCAGTATTTCTTTCGTTATTTCTTTCCACCCGTTTTCACTGGTAAAGATAAGACTTGCGCCCTCCGCAAAAAAGAATGAATAAATAAAGTGTTAATTTATTGCTTTTAGTGGTGCCCTCGATCGGCAGATCTATTGCACACGAAAAGAAATGGCGTAAAGTCAGTGCGGCTGCGCGGCACGATCGCACGATCTTCGACTCTGCTGTGGCCTGCCGACCCGACTCCGCTTGTGTACTTCCGTTTACAATCACGTGGTTGCATTCACCTGCGTAAAGAGATTGCACAAAGTCGGTGTAGCTGCGCGACGTGATATTTGACTTTGTATTGTGGCTTGCCGACCCGCCACCTCTTGTGTACTTTTGTTTACATTCACATGGTAGCGTTCGTCTGCGACGCGATCTCCGACTGGGTTGTGGCTCGCCGACTTGCCTCCACTAGTGTACTTTCATTTACATTTTGTAACTTCACTTTTTAAAGGGTGTTTTACTGACTGATCTTTTATTTCATCTGTTTTTTATCAGTCACATATGTGACATTTTTCCTATTGCAATAAAATTGACCTTTTCATAAATGTTTATTGAAAAAAAAAATTCCAGTTGTGTTTTGAATAAGCATTCTTGTTTAATTCATATCAAATAGAAAATATTTGTTTTAAAAAATGTTCTTATTCAAAAGTACTATTCGTATTCAAAAATATACAATCAGATTCGTAACGTTTATTATTCGATTCAATTCGCTTCAAAAGATTGATATTTGCACACCTCTAATATAAACATTTGCTTGATCAGTTCATTTCCGAATATCAGGAAATCATATATTGTGCTGAGTCCTATAAGTCTACAGACTTTTAAGTAATTTAATTACTACCTTATTTTAAAATAATCAATTCAATGCGATTAGTTCATTTCAACACGCAGGATGGGGCTCCCCACATGAGAAACAGCCAGAGACAGCTTGAGAGTGCCTGAGGTCCACAGTATGTGACGCCAAAATAAAGCCATCCACGTTAAAATCACCTGAACGCAGCATTGTCGATAGCGAACAGGGACTTTCAATGGCTGGTGACGCCGAAATCTACAAAGTTTATCTGTTCAAACAAATAAAGATCTGTCTACACAGGTCTATGGGGTGGCGTCTGGCATTAGACTTCAGCTAAACTTGCCAGAGGACACTTCTCTTGTGCCCTTAAATTTCATTTAGAAAATTTTATGGAAGGCAAATATCAGCCGATAGTAAAGAAATTTCCTACTCGGTCTAGAGTGGACTATTGAAAAATTTCTTGAAAACTTAGTTTATTTGAAGAGAACAGGTGGAGAAATATCATTTCCTTTTGTTTTACATTTTCTGTGTTATATGAGACTTCTCCAGTCAGCTAAGTGTGCAAAACTTTGGTGTCCACGAAAACCAAACACTAAGCAAGTTAACTTGTGAGACCATCTGTTCTTTGTAACTCAGTAAAATATTAATCAGGTTGTGGACCTGCTTCTTCCCTATGCATTCATGCATTAGTCTCTGCATTTGTTTATTTTGCTGGAAAGTAGTTCAGCAGGTGCAGCCGTGGGCAATGGTAATCCTTTCTGAGTATGAGTTCAGTTGTTTGAAAAAAAAGCTTGCAATTTATGCTCCAAACCACTTCGTGGACCTCGATGTGGCTCAGTACCACTGTTTCATCGGTTGTATGCTACAAGGGGCAGATTTGTATCATAAAATTAAGCAAAAACTACATAAAACAACCAAACCAAATGCACGTTGAAACCGAACCCAACTAAATCGAAGCAACCTAATGGCGGCGAATGTGCCAATGGCCTCTACCCGCCAGTCAGGCATCTACTGAGATGAAAAGGTCTATACATCTAAATAGCTAGAGTAAGGTAGTGTCTGTCTTTGGAAAGAGTCGTGGTGCTAAGAAAGTGACTGTGGACACGGTTAGAAGTAATGGCGACAACCCAGACCCCTCACCAAAAAGAAATTATACAAGCTTGATCATGCTAACAAAGACTAGTTGGTAAGCACAAAATCTGTGATGGGTTTTACACTTATCGGCGTTCATCCGTGGGGTCCCCAGTGAAGGCTCTTCCTGCTACTTCTGTTATTTCTTACATTCTCAACAAACTCGCCTCCCCCTTCTTCCACCATGGCCAGGAAGAGAGAGGCGTCTGAATGGCACCGCCTCGCTACAAAATAAGTATGTCGGAGATTCGCTCCCATTTCTGGCAAATGCCATGAGATGCCGCAGCATGACATGCCCATGTGCTTTCAAGTCCACGAGGCACGTGACAAATCAAACATTGCGCGAAGGGGCCTCTCTTCGTGGCGACAGGAAATGCCGTCCCTCACTGGCGCAGTCGGTAAAGCACTTGGCTCACAATCTGAAGGTGGTGAGTTAGGATCTTGCCGGGGGTCTCCTGTCGGGGGACCCTATGGGCGTAACACTTTTGGCACCAATTTTATGTTACAACCAAACGTTACACCCAAAACGTTACAGATCCCCACGAAAATCGGCCGATAAAACGCATTCCACAATATAATCGAAATTCTATGTTTATATTTAGACGGTGCAAGATCGGTCTGCCTTTGAGATGTGGCGGCACTGGTTTATCCCAAAGACGAGAAATTTGCTCTGCCGTGCAACCGCTAGCCCAAGTCTTTGATGCGCATCATGCAGTAGTGACACAGAACCGAATGCCAGTACAATGCTCATCCAGATCTAAGCAGACAGAGGTGGGAATTAAACCAATGCGGAGCGCAAGTCTGTCTGCTTGTTGCACAGAGCTTGGCGTCGTTCTGACAGCAGCGCAACTCCCGCACAAGAAGCAGGTGAACTTGCACTCCGCATACCCCCTAAAGGATAAGGCCTGTGCCTTTCTGCAAACATTGTCACTAGTGGAACCACACAGTGCCGCCCAGCTCGCGTCAGCGTTGCCGCCGGCACGTCTTGTAACTCTTTGCAACGAGTGCAACGCCAGTAAGCAAGGACGTCAGGCGCACGCATCTACCACTTTGCAGCATGCTACCGTCTGGCTTCGGCGCATTTGCCGCCCGAGACAGGTCGGGGATGCACCAGCGACGACGTCCCTGGGTGTCACGGTGCTAGCTTTCGCTTTGCGTGCTCCGAGCTGCGGTGCGCCAACGTATGCGGCCACCGATTTCTGCCCACCTGTGCGACCTGAGGTGTCCGGTGAGGGCGGAGTTGTTGAGGAAGCGCTTGTCGCACAGGTGGCACTTGAGGGGCTTGGCGTCCTCGTTGCTGTGCACCTGCAAGTGCTTGGAGAGCCGCTCGTTGGTGGCAAAACCCTTGTAGCACAGGCCGCACTTGTGCAGCCGAGGCAGCGAGTCCGTCGGGGGTGCCGCCTCCTTGCGGTCTCCCCGGGGAGGCCCACGCTTGCCATGGATGCCCACGTGTTTCATCAGCTCCGCCCTCGTCAAGAAAGCCTGCGTCGGGGAGACTCATTACGTTCGCTGTAAGTTCTCAAACTGGCTTGTAGGGAATGTAGGAGTTCTCCCGTGTTCTCAAAATTCCTCGGCCGTCCCTGCCCCTAAGCAGAAGGTCACCCAGTTTAAGCGCTATCTTAAAAGCTCCGAGGTATTCGCTGATGCGTGACTATGTGCCAGACATTTTCTAGGGGGTACATCTATACGCTTCCATGCTGCTTTATCGCATTAATGCCGAGACCATGAGGCATTCCTCAGCTGTCCTTCAGGGAAGATAGATATTCCTTGAGACTGAGGTGCTCAAGAACCCCTGGCTTTCATAATCGTTGAATGTGTGGGCATTCCCTACTCTTATTTCTTGTTGTCTACAAACAAGATTTTGACATGTCTTTCTTGGCAGTATGGCAATCTTTTTCGGAGTGACAACGCAACAGGTGACCATGCAAACTAGGACAGTGGGCTCTGCCGTGACCGGCTTTAGATACAAGTAATGTGCATGCAAATATGCAGCGATTGTAAGAATTGCATCAAATGGGAATAGAATGATCACTATATGAGAGCAATTTAAATTAAATTATATGTTCCACGCATAAAATATAACAGCTATATTACAGCAATTATTCCAAATTCATTCCAAATTATTCTAAAATACTGAACAGGCATCTACCAAATCAGAGAATAATTGAGGCAAAATTTTTTGTTGATGTTCGCTCAAGCTGAATTCACAAGCCCATAATTACTTTCGGTAGTTCAAATATGCGGATGAATGAACCACACGTATGGAAATCAAAAACTGAAAGCTGCTGAAAAACACTAAAAGACAACCGATTATAAGAGTGTCTCTTCCTGCCCCCAAACCTCACCTGTAGCAATACAACACAGTTTCAGATAGATTAACTCTAGCCCATACCATAACTTGTAGCACAAGCATGAATGTTCACGACGAGGGTACTTGCAATATAGAGGGCAGGCAAAGCCTCATTTAATAACCGGCAATTGATACGATAAAGTCACCAATATTGGAAAACGTAGAGAGCTACTTCATACTTTCCCGTGGCTAACCACAGCCCCACCCTTGTTGACCGAAGACAGCCCTCTGACCAGACATGGAGAGACCTCAGATTACTGACCGAACAACACTCGGGGCACTCCTCGAGTCGCGTTTTGGAATTCCTCCCCTCCTCGTCTGCAGGAATCACGGCAGCCGAGTGGATGGGCACGTGGATGTCCAGCACCTCGACGGAGTAGAACATGAGGCGGCAGTGGGGGCAGGCCCAGAGCGAAGGCTCCACCAGCACGGGTGGGTTTCGCCAGTTGCGCCTGGGCCTCGATCTGGTCATCAGTGACGAGCTTGTGGTCGTTCGCTGCTGCTGCTGCTGCTGCTGAGGCTGCTGTTGCTGTTTTGAAGGTGACAACTGCTGCTGTTGTTGCTGTTGCTTGCGCTGCTTAACCCGCTCCTCTTTCTGCTGGTGCCGAATCACGTGCCTGCCACAGAAACAGGGGACGTTACTGTAACAATGCCAAATCGTAACAGAAATTTTTGAGTGAAACAAAAACTTCTCTAGCTAATAATGTGCTCATTCAAATCACTACAATTACAGACTTGCGATTTAAGCAAGCCAGCACTGAGAATTGTAACGAGGGAAATCTTTTGGCAGAGCGAGAGACAGGCCTGTGCTCAAGAACAACTTTCCACGACACTTCCAAAAAGAGGGGTGCATATGCACAGCCCTAAGTGATTTCCTAAACTGAGCTTTTTATTTCTCTATGCCTCGCTTACCCTACTGAGCTAGTGACGTAACAGACATACAGTTATCCATCATTATAACAAAATCGCTTTTTTCGAAGTTCAACGAGGTTCCAACCGAAATGCACACATTTTTATCCGGATTGTTCAAACTGTATCGGCGGCTGACCACGCTTATTACAAAGGCCTAGGTGCCGAAAGCACGCAAGCCTACAGGGAGGCGCACAAAGACCCTTGCGCCACTCCAAACCTTTTCTCCACCGAGGCAAACAGAAAACTGGGAAAATGAAGTAAATGGGTGATGGAGGGCAGAGTACGTAGAGCTGGAAGAGCACCGCTTCCGATGCCGATGCAGACACGGGCAGGGAGCAGCGTCAACGTTCCGACACTACTCACGGCGCCCGCGGCTGACGATGCCCAACTCCTGTCGCAGTCGGGTAGAGGGAGCGATGGAGTTATCCCTTTAGGAGCCTCTGGCACATGCACCAGCACGGGCATGCCTGCGGCGTACTACAAGCACACGTGTGTTGTATGGGAGATTGTGAGTGTTCTTACAGTAATTCGCTTAGATCTGCGAGGTTGAGGAAAATGGCCAACCCAAGTTCGAAATTGCCAAAGAATTGGACATTCCGGCATCGCCTGTTCGACACTGTCCACCATTTTGCAGAACAAGCAAGGCATATTGGATGTTTTCGAGAAGTTTCATGCAACAGGAAGCGCGCCCGCAACCTGAAGATGAAAGATCGCCAACTGCTTCGTGCACGTTGTATTTTCTCTCGCGAGCACGATTGCCGAGCCGGCGCACTGTTTCCATAGCCGCAACAATCTCTACAAGAGAGTGTGAAAACATGTTGGCAAAGCCCTTGAGGATAACTTTGATTCGTTCACGCTTGTCAATGCGGACATTCCCGTTGTTGCTCCTGCCACAGATGCTGCGATCGTAGACCTTGTGTTCGGCCAGGGTAAACACGAAGCGGCGTCGAAGAGGCACCTGGGGAAATGCCGACGACTGCGGAGACGTGAAACATCCTGCGGCTACTCTTTGAAACAAAGTGAAATGCAGCAGCGGTGACAGTGTTCTTGCGATGCCTGGAGCAGTTTGAAGAAAACTGATGCTTGTATGAAATTACCGGCAAACTCCACTTCGCTATTTTTTTTACTTGGTAAAGCTGTTGTGAAATGTTCATAACTAAGGTTTGTTTGATTAAATGTATGGTCAGAGTGTTCCGCAGTGTTCCCGTCCACCTTCAAGGCTGCTGGCACTGCTTTTTTTTTTTTGCTCTATCACTTTTATTGTGTTACCGCTTATTTATATCGAAATCTTTTTTCCGTCCCAATGTCGCCGTTATAACAAGGTATTACTGTATCTCCTCCTTCCTTGTAGCATATTTTCTCCAATTATCTTTCATTTAACCTATTATTAATCCTCTTCCTCATGTTCATGTTCTTTTATTCAGACACGGATCAGTGAAGCTGAAAAGTCAGGGTTGTTCACCACACTGCTCAAAGTTTTGATTTCCACAAAATGAACCACTAAGATTAATCTAGAAACACATAAATCCCCTTGTACAAACATTCCTAATTATTTCTTAAGACCAAGCGGGGCTGTAAAACTGTGTGCAATGGAAAACTAAGTTTTAAGTGAGCATTGCTACACTGAAAGCTGTTCCTAGTGAGCTTCCTTTGATTCAATGGTTTCTGAATACATCAGAAGATTGAAATGCAAGACCAAGAGGCAAGTCTTACCTTTTCCTGTTGTATGGATGTGTGAAGCGCAGGTCGCACAGCGAGCACTTGTATTTCTTTTCACCCGTATGCATCATGAGGTGGCGCTTGAGCCCGTACTTCCGCTGAAACACTTTGTGGCACACGTTGCACTCGTGCTCTTCGTTAACTGGAGCCTGGTAAAATGAACCACAAGCTCACACTTAGCTCCGTTAGATACAAGACCCATTGCGTTGCAGCCCAGTGACAGCAAGCAGGTAAAGAGAGCAAGAACATCCCACCAGACATCTTGGAAGTTTAATAATTTCCCAATCTTTTATATGGAGGCTGAATTTATATACGCAATCTTTTCAGGGACAAACTGGTTAAATACATGCAGTTTTGTCTCATTCTTTGAACTATTTCTGGGGGGAACAAAGGTGTTTATAGCAGTGTATATCAGCAGAACACACACTGGTCAAAGCATGTCAAAAAATTAAAAGGCCCATATCTTGACTGGCCTGAGCTATTGAGTGGAAGTTCTTTAAGGCAGATCAACTAAATATTGGTTTGACTAAATACAAAATTGCAAATATGACTAACATCATCTTTTTGCAAGAATGTAGGGCAATCTGGACAATCCCTTTGCTGTGGCCTACTGACTCCTTTGAAAATGAGCAGTTTCAATTGCAATTTTAGTGTGCCAAGAGTTCTAAGTCTTGAAATAAGTGTAGTCCAGGGTGTCTACCCAATTTTTATTCTGAAATTCCCTGACCTTTTCAGGTTTTCCCTGATAATTTCAGGTGAAATTCCCTGACCGCTCTAGAGGCGGTTAAATATAAAAGACCATTACAACACAAGGCATTGAGCATTGAGCACTGTGAGGATCATTTTGCATGGGCTTAATCCAACTTGCATATTCCGAAATATTCGGGTTCATCCAGTTCGGATTAAACGAGCCTTTTCTTGCCACCGACATCGTCAGTGAAGAAGCCACCTCCGAAAATACGATGAGAACACGACGCTCAACCACACACGTCAATAACCGAATGGTAACATGGCGGCCAGATGCACATTGTGCGATACCTTGGCCTTAAGGCTTGGTTTGGGATCTGCGGCTTTCCCATTTATTACTAAATCTAGTATCTCTAACTGTATCTAGCCTATAGTGTCGCACCCTCAATCAAATCAAATTCAATTCAAGGCTTGGAATGGATTTGTTGGCTGCTCCCTTTGCATCGGGTAGCACACTCTACATCAGGTGAGAAGAGCTTGCGCTCCGCTCTAAGCAGAATTTATTGCCTATGTTTCTGCCCCCAAGTCCTTGCTCATGACACTCAATGGCAATTCCAGTTCATTTTCCCTGACGGAGCTCGCTTTTTGACAATATCCTAGACAATTCCCTGACGATTCCCTGATTTTTACCGGTCATTAAAATTTCCATAACAATTCCCGGTTTTCCCGGTCGCTAGACAGCCTGGTAGTCTCTCCAGATAAGCAGACACATAAAAAATCAGAAACAAAAACAAAAAGGAATTGAGGATTGAATACCTCTCTGTGCCCCTCTCACACTTCTACTAAACATTTTCTCTGAGATGCAGCAAGTTTTTAAAAGCCCAAAAATACTCGAAAATGGTAACACATCCTTTTGGAGGCATGTCTCTTTGAATATGGTTACTCTTGAAGATGAGCACAGCAAAGAAATGCATCTTTGTTTGAGTGGCTGTGAATATACTTAATTCAACACAATGAAGTATTTCTGCTTCCACAGCCATTGTAGTCTTGCTCAAGCTTAGACCAACAAGATCCTTTTGTTCCAGTCAGTCACGTTTAGATGAGTATCACTGCTTCGTGTCCCAAGGGCTTTTTTTACATACGCTACATGACCCGTTAAGTCTTGATGGATGCTCGTGCAATCCTTGAGATACTGAATTTGCCTGCCCCTGATTTAATGTTTCCAAATTATGCAACTCAGAAAAACATGCACAAGCCTTGCGCTTGCAGTAGTAATTCACTATATAAGTCAAATCTCGTTCATTCCAACTCGAGGGGGAGAGAAAATTTCTTTGAATAAAACAAAGTTTGAATTATCAGGAATTTCCTCTCATAGAGACGCATAGGATGGGATCTGCATGTTAGTTTGAATTATCCGCAAGTTTGAATTAAGAGAGTTTGAATTAACGAGATTCAACTGTATAGGGTTTTCGTATCTTTGCTGATTTGTTTTCACGGAACTAATTACAGATAATATTTTAGACTTTTAGGATGCGTTGAGCTCAAAAAAAATATTTCATGAAAATAGCATATTTAGGATAACAAAGCATGATTCTTGAGAAGTGAAAACTCACCGTAGCTTGCTCTTCGGCTGGAGGCAACGCAGCAACACTATTTTCCACCGAGGGACTTGTCTCGAGAAGGTCCACAGTTTCCTATTAAGCATGCGAAAAAGCAAAAAAGCAAAACAAAAACAGACACGAGATTAGCAATTCCTACTGGAACGAAGAGCAAGCGATAACACCCGCACTTCTTAGTTTATTTATTATACCCTGGTAATTCCTCTCTGTTACCAAGAAATGTGCTGTAACACGACTTTTGGTTAGGATAGTTGGTTCATATTAGACATGATAAAAATAGCGCGAACTTGACAAGGACAAAAAAGGCACACGTACGACAGGACTGGTGCTGACTTCCAACTAATGGATGATATACAATAAGCTTAGTTGGAAGTCAGCGCCAGTCTTGTCGTACGTGTGCCTTTTTTGTCCTTGTCAAGTTTGTGATATTTTAATCATATCTGTTACCAAGAACTTCTCTTTTCTACAAGCGAAGAACCAACTAGAGCCATTAACAATTAAAAAAGCCTCTACAGTATATTTACTGGGAAGATTAGAATGGCAAAGAGGTCTTTCAGCTGTCCCGTCTCAGGAGCGAACTTCCTACTTTCGAGAACACTGTGGTGTCTCGTGAGCTTCTAGATTGCACGCTGGAAGCCTTTCTCACACTGCCACTGACTATTGGCAACTCCAGCGAAACCGACGCCGTGTAGCGCCAACGCTGAAAGGCTCAGGAGGGGAGGTCGTTTCGACTCTGTCGTCCGCCATCGCTGCTTGGTTTTCGTAGGCAGCATAGAAACAAACATTGTTTCCAGTAATTATTTTATGCTTCCACCCTGTCATTCCTATGCACTGACTAGAAAAAGGTTTCTACTGTCGAAAAATCGCTTTGCTTACATATGGAACACCGATTTTACGCTGCAGTGCAGGAAATTTATGGTGGTCCGCGTGCTGAACGACAAAAACGACCTCCTTTCGTCCGCCATTTTGCCTGACCAGCGCACCCCCTATAGTTTGCTGGAGTCACGAATAGAAAAGCGCTTTCGTTCTATTAAGCTTGTTTAGAGGTTGCTGATGAAGTCTTTGCTAACAAAACTTCTCTCAAGACGATCACCTCAATTGGCTCTCTGGCGGCTTGTTGCTTCTTGGGTGGACGGCCACGACTCCTGGTAGCAATTTCAGACACCGGAGGGGGTGGGAGGGGGGCAGCGGTGCTGGGGCTGGGTGTCAGGTCAGGGGCAGGGGGAGAAGGAGGAGGCGGGAGCAAACTCGAGCTTGCTGTCGCACTGCACGCTGCCCCGGGTAACTTGTCATGCTGATTGAGGTGAAGTTGAAGCTCTTCCGAAGAGCCAAAGCTGTTGCTGCACTCGAAACAGGGCCACCTCGAGCCCGCTTCCACGAGACCTGTGCCTAATGGTAATAGAGAGAAGAAAAAAAAAGAAAGCTCGAGTTTGGCAGGAATAACCAAATTCATTTCAGAGGAAAAGAACAATTGGCTTTTAATTTACTATATCGACCCTCGTTCAAAACAGCGCAACCAGATATGAAAACACCAATCTAAGGCCAACACGGGCCTTTAAAGAAATAATATGTGGCATTTTTACGTGATGATTCATTGAGCACCTCTGAAAGCACATTTTTATGCACACAAAAAATTTCTCGAGCACAAAAGTCGCCTTTCAAGATCAGCTTCACCGACATTGTCCAGCTCTCTTTTTTTCTAGTGAGGTGAAGTGATGTGACAGACCTTCGGCATATATTCGAAAAGTTGCAAGCTTTGTAAGTTACTTTAACATTGAGTTTAAGTAAAACCTTGTTAATTCAATGCCCAATAATTCAAAAATTCGGATAAATTGAACTGCCGATCCGGTCCCGTCAAACATATGTATTAGTCAATGGCACCAAACAATAATTAATTCGGACGCTGTTAGGCGCGCTAAGGTTAATTCGGATGAATTCGGCAGGTGGCACAAGCTACCGCCCGTTCCAAAGGGTAAGACTGCTATCCGTCCCAGGTGCACACGTGGCTCTTACGGCGTTTCCCGTCTCTTCCAGTTCTCAGTGTTTCATGCTAGTTTTGCTCTGGAATGCCGTGCATTCGGTGCACTGGTTCGCACGCTCCTGGCATGTCGCCGATGTCGTCATCATGTGCAGCAACTGCTGCAACCTCTATGGCGGCGCCGCCAGCGAAGTGGCAGTAGCACCAGGCCAAGGATTTAGCGACGAAGTGGAAATACTGAGGGCCTTGAAAGATGGAATCTCTCCACAACAAACGGTGGAAAGGTACGACGTCAAGAGAAGCACTTTGGCCCTATACGTGAAAAATGAGGCCGAGATCCCACAGGCTTTTGAGAGCGAGAAGTTCAATGTGAAAAGAAAGCGGCTGCGGCAGGCAACGTATCAGAAACTAGAAAAGGCATGGCTGCTGTGGGTCGTCACACCGTCACACAGCCGCCCTGCAGCTGCACTGTGAGAGAGGCCGCGAAGGCTCTCGTTGTGCTGGAGGAATTTTGCTACAATGCCTCTGACAGTGCAAGTGCAGTGGAGCACCTAACTGTTCTAAGAAAAGTTGTCGTCTCTGTCCAAATGTCATCCAGAAAACAGGCAACAATAACAGATATCCTCTCAAAATAAAGATACATCAGAGGGAACCCTTTTCGCGCAGTTTTCTTTGTCCCTTCAATATTTCGACCTTTGGATAATTTTTGCCGCTCCCATGAGGTTAGAATCAACGAGGTTTTACTGTAGTACTATCGACAACGTTTTTGAAAGGTATGTCTTATGGTTGTCAAGAACAAATGATTGCCATTATTTGAGAAACCTTAAAACCTCGACCGGCAGAGAGGGGCAGAACAGGCCCACTTGTTTCCACTAACGGCAGTCTCACGAAACCACGTTCCACTTCTAAAAAACTATGTGCAGCAGTGCTGGAGAACCTCTTCTATTATTTGTTTTGACTGGTTCGCATGTGGGCGATAGTTTATTCACACTGTTTGCGAGTTTGGTAAGTCTTGGAAGCAAGGTGGGTGGCTCTGCCAATGATGAGACTCAAAAATTACAGTCGGGGATGCGTTCGGGTCACACAAACCCTCGCTTACTTCGGAATTTCTCTAAATAAAAGTCGTCCCCACATATTCACCGAGGCCATCTCGGCCGCTGACAAGCTGACTAATGTTCAAGCACCGGCTTGCTGAACTCCTAATGATGCCCAGAAGTTGAGAACTGTGAAGTATGAGTCGATGCTCTGTTTAGTCACCGAGTACACCAGGTAGTGCGGGCAATTACAATCAATAAAACCTGGGTGAGCCGGAAAACACTGCTGCAATACATGGAGAACAAGGCAATGGTACACCAAGATGGGTTTTCAAGAGTGTGTGATAAAAAACTGCCTTAAAGTCCCTATGGTAGTGGCATAAGCTTTCAACAATCTCCGTTCTGGTAAAATAAGACCTATTTTGTCTGCACAGTAAAGAATTGCAGGTGAGCACTTCTGAAATCAACTAAATTAATCAAATTCAGAGCCAATGACTAGGATATTCCTGTTATACTTAGAACATACAGCATTTTCCCACTACAATCTACACCGGAAGCTCTGAAAGCTTTTTATCTTCACATAAGTGAAAGTGAAAGTCATACAAAAATGTTCACACTTTGTGAACAAAAAGCAGGAAAACCTCAGAGCAACAAATGATTGCTGTGAGGTTTTCGTTTTGACATCCAGGCTGCAGGTTCAGCCTAAGGAAATTTACCATATGTGAGACAATATAATTCTCAAGTGCAAGACAGTCGCATACAGTACAGCCCGCTTATAAAGAAACCGGAAATAACGAAATAGTGGATATTGCCGCGCGCACGTGGCCTAATGGTTATCGTACCTGGCTCCCACGCGAAAAGTCAGGGTTTGATTCCTGGCAGTGCCACATCTTTTGTTATTCCTGCAATTTAGTTTTCTGGTAGATTCAAGAATCATGTTGCATGTTCGAGGTCCAAATGTTCTACGCGTCGAACATTCTACGCCGATTATTCCAGAAGCTCACGCATGTACATAAGGGGCGCCGCGTGGCGAACCGGACTCAGTCTCGCCCCAGCGCTCGATCCTGCGGTTTCGCCGACATCGACGCCCGCGACGCTCTCCTGCTTTCTTCTGTTTCTTTTTCCTTTTATTAATTTGGGCACAAGTTCACCCCCCACTAAACGTTTAGTTTGCTTCAGTTTTCGTCGCCTCATCACTTGTCATCAGTGACAATATAACAAAGTCATTTTGATTTCCCGTTCCCGTTTGTATGCCTGCAATGTGATTTGAGTCCATTTCTAGCAAAAAATCTCGGAAGGCCTGTGCTGAATAACGAACAAAAATTTGCCGAAATTCTTCAGATTTAATGTAGAACGTACCACAAAATTTAAGCTCAGCTAAAATAAACAAAATATAAAAAGTAGCTGCTGACCAACAGCACGCGGACCGTGCGTCTTTACAGCACATACCTCGGAGAATTTCGCACTGCTCGCCTCAACCCGCGCAGAAACGGGATGCTTCTCCACAAGACACGTGACGTGCGCAGCGTGAAACCCGAAACCATCGCCCACTGCTTCAAGAGTGGCGGCTTTTCCCGGACGAGGGTTTTGGAGGCTCCGGCTGCAAGCGACGAAGTGGTTGCCGACGCCAGAGTACCTGCTGTCAACGAGATCTGCGCACCGCTGGAGAAGATGTGGGAGAGCCTGGCACAGGTCCAGCTGGTCCCGTCCAGCGTTAACCTCGTCGACTTCGTTACGACGGAGGACGACATCGTCGCCACAGAGGAGATGACGGACGAAGACCTTGCGAACTGTGGCCTGGTTGAGGATTTGCGAACCAACGAGAGCGAAAGCGACAGCGACGACGACTGCCATGTGAAACCGTCAGTGTCCACCGGAACGGCGATCGCGGCGGTTGATGTGCTCCGGTCATACTTCGTTGGTGCCGGGCTTGGACAGAACATTTTTGCGCAATCGGACACATTAGAAGCAGCAATTGTGAGCATGTCTGTGAATCGCAGTGTGCAGTCGTGTATCGACAGCTTCTTCGGTAAGCAGTAAAAACCCTTGCTTTAAAACATTATTTTGTTGTTTTGTTTTCTATCCAGATATAGCGAAAAACGGGTATAACGAAACAATTTCTGGTTCCCAATGTGTTTGTTATAAGCGGGCTATACTCTACTCAATTTATTTCAATACTACCATTTTTACTCGCATAATGAATGCACTCGCATAATGAACTAACCCCCTCCCCCATTGGGCACCAATATTCACTTTTTTTTTCTTTCTCACGTAATAAAGCACTTTTAATTTTTGGCTCCGCAAGTCTTGAACTGCGTCCAACTTAGCTAGCTGGCTAGCCACCAAGCCCACCAAGCCAATTTTCTTTTGCTGCCAAGTGGCCAGGCCAAGCCAAGCCAAGCCACTCTTGTAATGGCTGCAATTGCGTGGCTGCAGAAGTCAGCAACCGTGAAATCGAGCAGTGCGCACGCCTAGCGAAGCTGGGGTCGAGGAAGTGCCCAGCCCCGGACGTGCTTAATCCATCGGAATCATTGATGTCGACAAACACATTGTCGTCTGTGATCCGCTTTCGGACAGTGATGTCATAAAAGTGGTTAGGCCTAAGAACGGTCGCGCCGCTCTCCGTGCTGAGTGAGCTTCGTAGGGCGCTTTTTTTCGGCGAAAGGCACGCCAAAAGCATCCTAAAAAAGGTTTCAAATTTATAAAACATGGTTACTATGGCGTGCCCACGACCAGCCGTGAGTGCGCCTCCATCAGTGGAGACGTGACAGCAGTACTTTGCCATGTCATATTGACAGCTATATTGATATTTTCGCAAAGTGTGGAAATAAAAAAAATTTACCCTGCATAATAGACGCATCCCCGCAAATATTTGTCAATTTTTCGGAAAAACATAAGTGTGTTCAATATGCGAGTAAATACGGTAGTTGACATAATCTACGAAACTCAAGTACCGAATTAAGTGTAAAAAGAAAGTCTGAGATGCACAATTTTTTACTAGGGAAGTAACTAAAAAGTGTGCTTTACATATGTACAGTCTCCGGAGCGCTACGAGCGCTCCGGGCAATTCCATTCTGCTTCGAGGGGAGGACGCTCACTCGGGGCTCAGCACAAACTGATAAGCGCGCACTTTAGCTGAGCCCCGAGTGAGCGTCCTCCCCTCGAAGCAGAACGGAACTGCCCGGAGCGCTCGCAGCGCCCCCGCCAGCCACCGCCTCGGCCACGCACTCCCAGTGGGTCTTTCATATCGCCGGAGACTGTACAGTCGCTGACCGATTTTTTGGACGCCAATAATTCAGACTTGTTGAATATTTTGGACTTAAAGGAGAAACCGTGACCTACCCAATAGAAATAGTGCATATTCACGACCGATGTTTCGGACAGCTTGAAGTCCGAACGTTCAATTTTTCAAACAAAATCGTCGCGAGCGATCAGCGGGAAACACCACTGCAAAGTGGCCATTTTGAATTCTATGTTGTCTGCACATGGATTGGCTTGGTTTTGCAGGCCTAAATGAGTACTGCTAAGTCCTACCGCTAGGTGATGCTGTACATCTTTTTTTTAGATGATGCTAGGTGATGCTGTTGGTCTTTTTTTATCTATGTTACCATTTTGCTTTGTTAATTCGCCATTGCACTCGTGGACTTGCGCCTCATCTTGACCTCATTTCAGTAAATCGTGTTTTCGGACAATTTGCTGGCTTGGATGTCATTGCCCACCTGTTCTTCTGCCGCCGCGATGAGTTGCTAAAAAAGCGCAGAAAGTTCTCGACCATAACACTAGAAGGCAGCGATTCTCAAGTTAATAGAAAGTTGTTGAACGCAAACGGAGGCGTAACCTAAAAGAAGGCGCATAGGCGTAACCTGAAGCAAGGCACAATTTATGGCTTTTTTTAAGCCCGCTTAGACGTAGTAAAGGCAAGCTTTTTAATCTGCTGATTTTTTGGACTGCTCTATTATTCGGACGTTTTTTCGGTCCCTGCAAAGTCCGAAAAATCGGTCGGCGACTGTATATACAGCAACAAAAACCACCTAAAAAAATAGAATAACCGTACTATCGAAAGAAAGGCTAACAAATTTCCACCTGGCTCGAAGATGACTTACCTCTTCTCCTACTGGTACCCTCTTCCGAATGCTGCTCTTGTTGTCGCTGCAGCGGCTGTCGCTGTAGCTGCTGTTTCTGCTGCTGTTGATGTTGTTGCTGTTGTTTCTGATGTTGATGCTGCTGCCCTTGTTCTTGCTGACATTGCTGCTCCTGCTGCTGTTGTGGTTGCTGTTCTGGTTGCTGTTGTTGCTGCTGTCGCTGCTGCTGCTGCTGTTGCTGCCGCTGCTGCTGTTGCTGCTGTTGCTGCTGCTGCTGCTGCTGCTGCTCCTGCTCCTGCTGCTGCTGTTGCTGCTGCTGCTGTTGCTGTTGCTGTTGCTGCTGCTGCTGTTGTAGCTGCTGTTGTTGCTGTAGCTGTTGCTGTTGTTGCAACTGTTGTTGCTGCAGCTGTTGCTGTTGCAACTGCTGCTGTTGCTGCAACTGCTGTTGCTGTAGCAACTGGTGTTGCTGCTGCAGCTGCTGTTGCAGCTGCTGCTGCTGCTGTAGTAAGGGTAAACCCCAACGCTGGGCATAGGCGCTGGAGTACCAGACTCGCATCTCCGTCCGAGAGGCCAGGGCCCTGGTGGTGTTGAAGTAGAGCCCGGTGCCCTGCTGCACCAGGATGACGTTCTGCTCGGCGTGGCTCTCTGCAGGACGCACAAAGCGCATCCAGTTGCTCTGCGTCTCGTCTGAAGTGTCCAAGCACACAACCTGGCCATCCTCCTCGTCCACCTGTCACGAGAGAAAAACAAGCAATATCAAAAGACACTCCAAATAACCACGTTGAGTTTGTTTGTTCTTTAAATACAGGCCTGTCTCATTAATATGGACCGCGCTGATTCTTATGAACACCCCACTATATAAACAAACTTTTTCGTGAACAACTGGGCAAATACATGCATTTTTGCCACTTTATTATGGACAACTCAAGTTATGGATGGTTTTCGTGGGGAACGGATGTGTCCACATTAACCAGACATCACTGTGCTACCTCTGTTCCCAGATCAAAAAATTATTTTTGAAGCTCTTCTGTGAATGAATGCAAAGTAGCACCGAGGGTTCTTAATTAACTTAAAAGCAATAAAGCACCCCATGACACGACTGCCGTGGGACAGGAACTGATGAATGGGCAGCTACTGTGCAGTGTCCAAGCTGAACAAAATGTAAAGGATAATTAAATGATCTAGTCATGGGTGTACCAACTGGGGGGGCAAGGGGGGCACTTGCCCCCCCCCCCCCCCCCCCAGTTCTCAGAGTGAGGGGGCAAGGCATGTGTTTTGCCCCCCCCCCCCCCCCCCCTGAAACAGCCACCGCTGGGCAGGGCAAACAATGGCCGGCGGCGCCTAAGGGATACCAAGGGCACCACCCCCCGGCCCGGGGGGGGGGGGTCTGGTTTGCCTTCCCACTCAAAAACAAGCTGGTACGCCACTGGATCTAGTGAGGCTAACTGTGTTGAACAAAACCTTGATACTAAAAAGGGACAGGACCGATTGTCGTAGTAGCATACTTGCACAATTCATGGCTAGCATACTGAAACTTTTGGCACTACACTTATCTAATAAACTCTGCTTTTTATCTTGATCATTCTTATTCATTTTTTTTAATTTCAGTACATTTTAAGTGAACAAGCCTGCATCAAGGACTGGAAACCAAATGGTAAATTTAATCAGGAGTAGCGGTGATTTACCAGATGTTTGATTCCTTGAAGCTATGTCAAGGCCAACATTGATCAAGAGTTCACTTAGAAAAATGGCCTTACAAGTGGTTGTAGTTTATTGATCCCCTCAAATATAATTCTTATGCATGTATAAACAGTGCACTTTGACTTTGAAGTAAATTCGAAGCGAATATATTTTTGAATCAAACATTGAATAGTTTCACTAAGCTTTTTATTACTGCACCATGCTTAAACAAAAACCCAGCTGAACTCGTCAAGGTTTTTTTTCCAAGTTTCCACTGGTGAATTTCTAATCTAAGTTAATTTTGATCTAGCTATATTTATTGAATATGGCCTCAGAAAGTCCGACACTTACACTTAGATGGCAAGAAACACTTGGCTGGCAAGTAAACAACACATTTGGTATAAAGTGAATCCTACAGATGCCCAACTACTCCTAATCAAAGGGATTTACAAATCTCCTTGGCTTATGCATTTCTTCAGTCTCGAAATTAAAAAGAAAAGACAATCAATAATGATGAAGGCATGTTGTCGGGGCATCTCTGTCTAATGTATGTTCTTGCATAACAGCCACAGTTTAATTTTTAAAATTTTACTGCAATGTAGATATCAACATTCACATTCACAACGTTTCTGCTTTTCTCACGTGCAACAGCAATAGTTGTGCTTTTTAAAGTATTGATTGTGGCACGCTAGCCCCACTGAGCGCGCTTCTTACCCAGCACCAGTGCACTGCGGAAAAGCAACAACCACAAAAGTGAGCTCTGCAGGTGTTGCTTCTCTGCAGGCCACTGGTGCTCGGCAAAAAGCGTCCTCAGCGGGGCTAACTTGCTGTGGTCAACGCCTTGAGAAATACATACGAATATTGCAGCTCATCTCGAAGTGAACATCAAATTGTGTATAATTCGAAACTCCTATTTCGAAAATGTGAATATTTGCACGATCCTAATTTTAAAAGGCCCAATAAAAATGCTTGTTCTTCCCAGTTTACTGAAAATTTACTTTCTAATATCAGCACCATTTGTAGAATTTTTTCCAGAGTATGATTGTGGACAAGGAGAAGGACAAACTCTTGGTTCTAATGTGATTCTTTTTGGGGCTTGTCATTTTTAAGGAGCTTAAAATGTAGCTACCATAACAGGTAGCTTCGAATATAGCAGAAGCTGCGTAGTACGGTATGATGTTCAGCCTAAAATTCTAGCTGCTCTTTTCATTATGCGTATGTTTAAAACAGTTAGTATAGTGCACACCAAAGACAAACACAGAAGGAAGTAAAGCACACACAGCACAAAGATAGTGCTGTGTGTGTTCTAGTTCCTTCTGTATTTGTCTTTTGCATGAGCTATACTAACCGTTCACTTGTCCTACCAACTAGTCCAAGCTTCAGTCCATATGCTTATCTTTTTGAGACGTGTACGAATAGTGGATTTTGAGTTTGAAGCAAATTTGAAGCAAACAGTGGCTTTGGTCGAATATTTTCTAATCGAATATCAAATAGCTTCTCCAAGCCTTTTACTACTATTGCATCATTCACTAACGACAACCCAGCTAAACTTGTAAAGGTTGTTTCCAAGCGTCCCCTTGTCCGTTTATAATCTAAGTTAATTTTACCTTTCTTCAATTGCAGGTTTATCAGGTTGCAGGGCATCTCAGCCCAACACATACTTACTCTCGCATAATAGCCACAGTTTAATCTAGAAAATTTTACAGCAATGCAGGCATCAACATTCACAAAGTTTTTGTTTCTTTTAAAATACACCAGGTGCATGAATGGACTATGCCGCATTGAAAATGGGCTTTTCTGTTATGCACGCGAATGCGACATTTGTACTTTTCTAAATGTGGATTGCGGCGGTTTAGCCCCGTTGAGTGTGCCTCTTACTGAACACTGATGCACTGCAGAGAAGCAACACCCGGGGAGCTCGCTTCCGCAGGTGCTGCTTCTTTGCAGTGCACCCGTGCTCGCGAGGAAGCGCACTTAAAAAAGCTATCCCGCCGCGATCAACACTTCGAAAAAAATTCCGAGGACACCTAAGCTGCAGCCCCCGAACCTCCCCCATCCCCCCTCCGGCAACGCCTGACTAGCCTGACATGAAAGCGAATATTGAATAGCTTATTATTCGAAACAGCTATTGAAAAATTTGAATATTCGCAGAACCATTAAAAAAAGTTTATATTTTCACAATCCTAAGGGTATGCTAAAAACATGTGGACCAATAATGCCCGTCTTGTCTTGCATTTCTTTAGAACCTCGTGACAAAACACAATTGACAAACACATAGAGGTGGAATGCCAGACTCACAAACAGGGGAAAACTCTGCTGGGGCCTCTCCGACCTCCTCTGCAGGACCCCCTCGATGGGGCCAAACTGGGTCCGCTTGGGGATGTTCTTCTTGGCAAACACTCCGTAAACTGGAACACAATGTGCATCAACATCGGCGAGCAAAGAAAGTGTATTTGACGGGCCCCTTCACATGAGGAAGTATAAAACAAATAAAACAAGAAAATGTTACAAACCTTGAGAATCAGTTCATGAAACAAAGTCAGCTTTCCCTTCACTTTGTCGTCAATCAAAACAAGATTGGTGGCATACCCACAAAAGCTTCTTCCGCGCAACACACTGCATTGTGCTAGGGTGCCAGTGTGGGCACGTTGGGACAGCCATTAAACTTTGCCCATCATCAAGGTTTGTCACAAAAAAAAAGGTAACATGCAAAAGCTTTTTTTTTTTGTCGTAAGAGAAAAACAGAATTCAAATCTGTCCATGTGAGCACTCAGTAGAACTGCTGTAGTCTTTCTTTTTGTCATAAAGAAACTTTCTTTAATGGCAAAGCTGCTATTAAAAAAATCTGCTCAACACTGGTATAAATTGACAAAAAATAAGAATGGAGACACGGGCGAGCAATAAAAGCAACAGTATGCCTCGCATATTTAAAATCATACAGCAAAGAACAAAAAAAATTGTGAAGACTAAGCAGGCTTGGGCTCGAAAAAAAGAAAGGCTCAGAAAGAAGGCATATAAAAATGAGCTCAACTTACTGGGGTCTCCGTCGGGCTTCTCAGAAACCTTGTGAACATAGAGGTAGCTGGCTGGGAGGCTGGCCCATGCCCTTGTCAGCACAGGCTTGTCCACTATGAGCTGCACCTTGTGCCGTGGACACTCCCGGTCGTAGAACTGTCCGCAGTCGTCGCACCCTGCAGTGGTTGTAACCTCTCATTTTTAACTAAGCAGCACCAAAAGTCACGAGCAATGGTACTGCAACAACGAAAGATACGGGGTCCATTCGAAATTTAAAAAAAAAAATTTAGCTTCTTTTTTTTTTTTTTTTTTTTTTTACTACAACAAGCAGACTCTATGCAAAAATCTTGCAGTTGTACTTTTGATCCGTCGAAAAAACCGTCGTATGTAGAATTGCGTTTTACAGGGAACGCAGTGGACGCTAGCTCCACTTTTGGCCTTCCAGACATGCAATGCCGTGTCTAGCATTGCCACGTCCTCCTTTTCATGCAGAGTCGCACTCTTACTGAAGCTAACCGTAACTTAGAGTTGAAAAGCGAAACGTGCCACAGTCGTAAAGAGTTGGCCGGCTAGCAAACACTTGCATCGCAAGCTCTGCTGCATTCAGAAAAGGTAAAAAGAGAGAGGACTCCGAGACATTTGGAGAAGACTTCAGCAGTTGCAAAAACTTAAAAAACAAAAAAAAAATTTAAAATAAAATGGTACAGAGAGTAGCAGCAAGGCTTGACATAGTCACAGCGTCGCATGCCTGGAAGGCCGAGACTGGAGAAAGCGTCTGCTGCATTCCTCATACAACGCAATCCAGCATGTGACGGTTTGATCGGGAGATCAGAATACAACTGGAAATATCCTTCAATTAAACTTGTTGTTGGCCTAGTTGGTTCATGATGCAGTATAGAGGTTCCTTCTTCCAGTTGTTTCCGAGCCTTTACAGCTGGCAAAGCCTTCCCAAAGCGTCTAGGAGTCGTCTCTCTTGCCTCTTCTTTTTGTGTTTTTTTTTCATTGTTGTTGTTGTTTTTGTTTTGATGCAGGTGTTTGGCAGCTGTCCAGAGGAAAAAGTCTAGCAAAGTTTTAAGCAGCTGTAGTAGTCTTAGGAGGAGTTGATAGCTGACAAACCTAAAACTTATGTGGTGTGAACTTGATAAGGTTTACAATAATTAAAATGAGGGCCTCCACAGTTATCAAGCTAAAACTCAATGGACTGTCAAGACCGGTTATAACGAAGTTGGTTATAATGAAATAGTGGCTACAGCAAAGTGATCACGATTTCCCATTCCCGTTTGCACTTTTTCAATGCATTTGTGTCTGTTTTTAGCGAAGGTAATTGAGCGGCTCCCGCAGATATAACAAAAAAATTTTGTGATAATTAAAAAAAAAACTCTAGAACTTTATTTAGTTTTGGATTGCCGCACTTTGCTGCCGCGGCCAAGAAGCCACCCAGAACAGGCGGCAGAAGATGCTGGAAAGGCCGCCAGTGGCAGTCTCTGCAACGTTGTCTGCTCCCCGCTCCTTATCTGGGGAGCGGCTTTACTGCATCGCATGCGGGGAAGCCATCGTGGCATGCCAATAGGGGCGTTTGGAGCGCTAGCGACAACGTTCCGGCGGAGATGACGGAGAGAGCCTAGATTTAAGAGAGGGAGCAGTAAGTATGCCTGCATTTGATTGTCGTGTGGCCAGTGTGGCGAGTAAACTGGGCGGAGAGGCGGACACGTCTGCAGAAGGTGAATGCTTTTGAGTTTTGACTCCTTGCACACCACAGCTCGTTTTGCAAATGTGGCCCACAAACCCCATGACCCTAATCGGGCAGTTGCCCCATCTCTTAAATCTAGGCTCTCTATACTGACGACAACAAGCTTGAGCACGAACTCGGTGCCGTGAGCGCTTCTTTGTTTGCTTGATGATCTGTGTCGGCGTCTGGTTGGTGAGGTCGCTCTTGCACGAAAGTCTCCTTCGTTCAAGCACCAATCCAGCGAACCATCGGCACTCAACAATGGAGAGTCACGCACGTTTTCCCCGGCACCTCAACGGGGAAAATGAAGGCAATTTTCTTGAATCAAAAGCGTGCCATCTTCGACAGAGTGCGCTTAAACGTAAAGCACCGCCAGCATCCTCCGCGGCGCCGTCGTAGCTGTCAACAAAGTCCACACGTAACAAGATCTTTTTTCGATCGGAGCTTCTTGCAGTTGGCGAGAAGCGACTCCAATCTAGCAGAGGACGCATGCAGGGAAGCCTCGAACACGCTTTGCAGGCTCGATAAATATGTGCCCGTGACAGCATGACAGCCCATGTTATTATTTTTTCTTCATGTTATTTGTACAAGTTCATATATAACGAAGAAGCGGATGTAACGAAGTGATTTCCGATTCCCGTCGACCTTGTTATAACCTGTCTTGACAGTATGTTGCCTTGGTTTCCTCTTGTAAATCCAAGAATTGTAGATACTGCTAAGAGCACAGTAAAGTATGAGCACATGTAAAGAGTGCCCTCTATCACCTTATGTGTACCTCGAGATGAAAGCAAAGCAAGTACTGTATTTTCTGGTATAAGTTGTGGTTCTTGACCGCTCTGCAAATATATTTTCACTCAACAGCTAGATACTATTTTGTGCTGTTTCTTCTTTTTTTTTTAATTTGTGGCAGGCAGACTTTGCAATATTTCACAGGAAATGTACCTTAGGAGGGCTAGAAACGGGGGGTCATATCTCTCCCTCATCGAAACATTAGCCCACAGTGCCTGTTCATTGGCATGTTAGTTTGACAAAGAGTCTTTACGTAAGCTAGTATGGCAATGGTGAATTGACGACAGCCCGGAAACAGTATACCCCCTTCCAGTTTATCATATTCTTGCAGCTTCTTTCAAAAACAGACAACTATGGTGGAAAAAAAAGAGCTAGAAAGAAACCTAAAAAGAGCGCATACAGCTCCTAGACCTAACAAGTGTACCTCCATGGAAACAAACAACCTACAAGTTCCAATTCAAGAATGATCTGCTTGAGTCACTTCTTTCCACAAGGGTCATACCTTCCTTTGGAACACTACTTAGACCACATGTTCTCAAACTTGTCAATCTCGAGAAATGTCTATTTCTCCTACTAATCGTCAAAAAAGCCCCCCCCCCCCCCCCCCCCCCCGCCTTGGCATTAATACAATAAAACAGTGCAGAAGCCCTGCTTTATTTCATTAATGACTCGTTATAACATAATAAAAACAAAGACACCAGGGAGTGTTTGGATCATAGTTATGCATCAATAGAGGGGTCAGAAATTTTAATATAGTGCTTAAATTAAATTAACACCGCTCGGAGGCAGAGAAAAACCGACAGTCTCTGAAAGCTCAGAGAACCCCTAAAAGTACCCCGGGGAACCTCCGTGTCCCTAGGAACCCTGTTTGAAAATCCTTCACTTAGACATCCACAATTTGCTGTACCACTTTTCTTACACTAAACTGCGGGCATCTCTAAAAGATCACCCGGCTCAGACATTCCATAAAATGCAATGAAGGGTGCGACAGCATTTTCTGGGGCTTTTAATGAGCAGTGTTCTTCGATGGAATGATGTCCAATGTGATATTTGACAAAAGGATTGCAAATGTATAAAGGCCTCCTCTTTCTCTTCGTCGATGCACCTCTTTTTTCGAGGCATTGCATCATTTTCCCTAAAACATTGTCACGGACACAATCTGACCACGAAAACGCCTTTGCTACTACCGTAATATACCAGCTCATTGCCCATCCCTGAGGCATTGCCCACCCCACTTTTTGGGCGAATATCGATTTTCGAAAAAACACCGAGTGATCGCCCACCCCTAAAAATACCCCAATGCAGACTTTGCAATCTGCAAACATTCATCCTACTTGAGGAGAGAGGCGGCCGCGGACCTTACAGCTGGACGTCCGTGACAAAGTAAACCGAAGGAGGGAAAGACTTTGTTTATGCATTTCCTCCCTGATTTCCGCAACCCCAAAGTCGTAGTACATCATGTGAAGGGAAAACGAAGGAGATAACAAAATGAAACTTTGTTTTGCTTACAAAAAAGTTTTGTTGAAACAAAGACAAAAAACAAAAAAGTCGGAAAGATAACACAAGCAGTAACCCATTTAGGGATCGTAAGGTCAGCGATCGCCCCATATCCAGAAATGTAACCGCGGAACTAGTGCAAGGCCAAAGTCTGTCTCCACCGAAGAAAGGTGACCACGAACCCGCTCCTTCTCCCGGAACGTCACAACCGCGGTTGGTAAGGTGCTCTGTTTAAGACAAAGCCATCAGGTAAATAAAACTTTGCTGGAATGCCACACACAGACATTTGTAGAGCGTCCCATTTTGAGCTCCATGTTCGCGGTGCCGTCCGTGTCATGCAGCTACACCGCATCAATTCGCGTTGATAGCACGCTGAGCACGGATGCACGCATGGATGTACTCTAGTATGCATCAAGCAAGAAAGTTGCGCAAGAGCTTGTGATTGACAAAGCGCCCGACTAGGCCCGACGGCAAATTATTTGCCAACGCAACTGTCGGCTTTCCCGCCTCCCCAGCATCGCACTTCATCGCTTCTTTTGTCTAATCGCGTGCTCATTCGTTATGCCTAAATGGCTTTTCTATTTTCTTGTTAAATTTTTTTTTTTTTTTTTACAAACAAAGAGAACATAGCGGTGTTAGAAATGTGCTTCCACGAAACAAACGTTTGCGGGCTGTATGCCGACCGCCGGTGTTCATCGTGTGTATGCAAGCAACAGACTTTGCGATAGCGAAACATTCTTTCAGGAGCATTTCTTGCATAAAACAATGAAGCTAATTCGAGTTTTAACCTTAATTCATTTTTTGTGCAGCCAAGCTAGATATGCACAGAAAAATGGGTGTTTTTTTAGCTTTTTTTTGCTTACCCACCGGGACATGGCCCACCTCCCTTTTTTTTAAGAGTTTCAGGCAGCTCGGGTGTGGGCAATGACTGGATATTATGGTATACAGTTCCTACCCTACTGGGGGAGGAGTGCTAGTGCACCAATTTCCCCCCCCTCTCCCCCACCCCATTCTGCACGGCACGGCGCCATTGGTTGCGCACGCTACGACGTCAAACCAACAGCTGCACTCCGTTGCTGACACCCTCTCCCATGGCCTTGCTACGGTCTGACCAGCACCAACACGAGCAAGCCAGGTCCGTGCACGTCTCTCATATAGAGCTATCGCCTTAAAACAAAGGAACTGGATGGAAGCACTCACAGAAGCGCGACAAGCACATGCGGTCGGCGTCTGGCCTCGCACCCGTCGCAGGGGGGGGACCGGGGGAGTGCGCTGCCGAGGGTCCAGGGCTGCCTAGGGCCCGGGTGTTGACTGGGGAGGGGGCCATCTCCACACCCGGGCTGTTGGTGGAGTCCGGCTGCGAGGCACTGCTCACCGCAGAGCAGCCCTGCAGCTCGTCCAACTCCTCCTGAGACACTCCCGCGCTGCACACTGCGCATCCACAACACCCGCCAAGCCGTCAGGATCAAACACTCTTGGATTAGTGGTGCCAGAAATCAACAGCAAATCGAGTGAAAATAAGGAGGGGGCTAACTTTCAATGTGCAATCGAGAAAAGTTGAAAAAAAAAAGTGCTATTTTTAGGCCATGCATCCCTGGCAAACTTGTTATTGCGGCAAGGGGCAACAAAACAAAGGTATAAGACTACTTCCCAGTCAGTAATGTTCGCTTATATCACACCATAGCTAACTAGCCGCATTTGCACCTAAATTATCATTGATCCGAACACTACGATTACAGAAGTAGGCCATCTTTCTATGTTTAAAAAGATATAGCAAATCAAACCACAAAATCACAACATCTCCACGTGGTGAATGATGTTGATTGGGGCGAAGCTCTGGTGGTGCTGGTGATACCGATTTTATTGTTCATAGGTAATGCTGATGGTGCTGATTTTTTTTTATTGCTCATAGGTAGTGTCGAGTTCCAGGTTGGGTTTTGACTTCATTATTACTGCTTTATGGTCGGTGAAATGCAGAGCCAGTGGTTCTTCTAGAAGATCAGCTTGGATCCGCTAGAAGCCGTGGGAACGCAACTCCACCGCTTAAGTCAACGGTCCATGTCAGAAAGAGAATGTGTGGTATGGAACGTGGTTATATACGCAGTTGAGCATTTGGCCGCAGCGCCCTGTCGTCTATAAACGTTGAGCAAATGCATGCAAAGTTTAACGCGATTCTAGATGCATTTGACTGCGGCGCCCTCTCCTATATAGATGTTGAACGGCTACATGCAACATTTCATCCATGACAGACAGATGGGATGGCAATCGATGTGAGCACGGACGCCGGACGGATGGACAATGCTAGACCCCTAAGGAGCTTCGCCCCTAAAATAGGAGGCGGGTTATCTTTTGGGTGTGGGTCATCTCTCGAGATATTACGGTAGGCTGCGAACGACAAAAAAGGGTATGCATGTTTTAAGTGTGACGGCATTTCTGAGGTAATGCAATGCACTTTCGCATCTGCGGCTCAACTTGTAACCAACGAGGCAGGCAGCATGCATCTTTTATATACCTAGTTTAGGCATACAGGAAGTAATGTATCCCATGAATATTGTATGATATTTTAGCTTCTAACTGGCAAATATGGTTACCGAGGGTCTTATTATGTTTTATATACATATTATGAGTTTAGCTGTTTTCACACTGCCTCTGTCTTCTGAAGATTAAGGGCAGTATTGTTTTGAATAAACACGTAGTAAGATAGAAACATTTTAATTGCAGTAATGCTACAACAAAAGTCGCTGGTTGATTGCAAAGGCTCGTCTGCAGGAAGTAGATGGTTAGGTGAGAAACTTATACGGTGCAATCCATTTACAATGTTAATGAGAAAACCCGAAAATTCAATTGTTATAGCCGATTATTGTTGTATGGACAAGAAACTGAGCGTTTCTAGTCTAGAAACTCTAGAAACTGATCGTTATAAGCAGTAGGATGCTATATGTGGTAGCGTTACAAGTGCATTGCACTGTATGTGAATGGTTTTAAATACTGTAGAGAGTTTCGTGAATGTCGACAAAAAATATTCCTAGAATTTCCCCAGCAGTCCCTAAGAAGTTTTATAAAAAGTATTCATGAGGTACAGGATGATGCAAAATGCCATCACATCTATATGACAATTTATGCAAAGATTTTGGCAACCATTTTTTTTTTCATTGAACAATTCTAATTTTCTAACTCCATGCAGGGATGGAACTGAGCAAAGCATCCTTGGAGCAATCTTGGGAGCAGAAAAAACTGCAATTTGGAACAGGTTGGAAGCAGCAAAAACGAGGTCTTGGAACAAGTTGGGAGTAGCATAAGAGTTTTAAGAAGGCTAAAATAGAGGCCAAATGTCCCCTGGGTTTCAAAACGCAATGAAATATGGCATGCAGATAACTTCATGGGAACGGTAATTTCAATTAACAATTCATTTGAAACAATTTTCATTAGTTACATGAAAATTACACAATATATATAAAGTAAAACTGCACGACAGTGTGACATGTGATGGAACCGACTAGCAAAGAGGTAAATATAGACAAAGAGGCAGAAATAGCTTTCAGCTCGTACCTTGCACCGTCATACGCCTCACTGGTCGCTCGCCTTTCTTATGTTTCAAAGTTTTCTGTGCGGGACCTCAGGGCGGGCAAACGCGGGCTGCGGGCTTGCAATACACCTTTCCATAAAAGCGTATTAGGGAACGTTCATTGCTGTGTTAGTGTGTTATGCACGCGCCGTTTCTGGCTGACCGCAATTGTGAGTGAGCGCCAAGAAGCAGGTGCGCCAACTTAAATACATTTGAGTTTACCGCAATATGGCAGTGCTGTTTGCTTCACTATTCAGATGAAGTGACTCCAGGACTTCAGAAAAGCACATGGCAACGGCAGCTATACTTCATTTCAGCTTATGTCCAGATGCAGCCGATGCTACAAGCGCCAGAATGTGGCCACGAACAGTGCTCGCAGTGCACGAGCGCGCATTCTTGGCGGGGATGCTGAAGGCCCGGAGCTCACGCTTGTAGCATTATCTTAGACGAAGCAAAGCAGCAGTGAATGGCTTCAAAGAGGTCTGGGGCCCTAAACTTGTCAAACACAAAGTTGGGGCCGAAGTTGACGGAGCGCACCGATTAAACAGTCACGACGATGACTTTGCGTTTTTTTTGCCGACTTCTAATTAGCGCATTGTGCGAACTTTCGGCTCCAGCTTTGTGTTTGACGAGTTTAGGGCCCCTGGTAGCAGAAGCATTGCAATGAGAGATGCTGTAACAACTGTTATAAGCTAAAACGAAGTCTAAGCATGGCAGCAACCACTGTGGCAGCGACTTTTGGTTACGGAGCTTGGGATTCGGATTTGGATTCCCTGGCGTTCCCATTCGCCCGGAAGTTCCGATGTCAGTGTCGCCAAAAAAACCTGCAAAACGGCTAATTTCAACGAGAATCTATTATAGTTTAAGTTTGGGCGCGCCTTGGAGCAATTTTCTTCTGATTTATACATCGCTATCAGTGTCGCACACAAAAAGTAAATAGGCGCACAATGGCACAATTGGCGCAGCCCTGTGCCATGTCATCTCACACAAGAATCCACGAATGGTAAAGCTTTTCGAGTGCGCTAAACGTCGACAAACATGAACAACCAACTACCCCAATCTCAAGTTCTTACAGGTTTTCGGTAATTGGGGGCAATCAAACCATTCCGTTGCTCCCTCGGCAGGCTACATCAAACACCTTGCCAGATAACTGTGAATAAGAATACAATTAGTTTTGGTCGGTGTTACCGCATTAATTATTAATCTAAGTGAAAGAATAATACGAGACCAGAGAGTGCAGAAAAGGGAGTGTAATAGCACTGCCAAAAGTCAAATTGTTTCAATGGTACAGACAGCACCACAGGAGAGTAGCATGCCTTTAGATGATGTCTGGTGTTTCTGCTGCAGAGGGGCAATTTGGACAGTGCACTGCAACTGCTAACCCAGAGTCTTCAAGCAAATCACATAGTAGAGTAATTACATCAATGGATACCAGCAATGGAACCATCAGAAGCAAGATTTGAGCTCATGATATCTAGGTCTCTAACACAGGCTTCTACTAGACTGCAGTGGTGTTGCCGGCCCATGGCACACTGGCACACTCGGCTACCAAGCCCATCCGATATCACCTTCAATTCACTCACATTAATAGTGAATCTCAGAATAGCGTACGCAAAGAAGTAGCGCCATCGCAGCTGCCCACATGCTGAGTCCCAACTTTGTCTTGGATTGGCCCGCGGTGAAGACGTTGCTTCTTCGTGTTACTTCTTTGTGTACAGAAGTTCTCAAATTTTTTCAATCTTAAGGGACACCTATCCCTATTGACTGACAGCTGAGGAAGCCTTCCCGGTCACAGCAGTGTTGCACTACAGCGGTTATAGGCCAACGCGCTGCCTATGAACAAGCCCCCCCTACAAGGTATAGGCAAATGCAGAGTTTTCACACGAGGTGTTGGCACTGCGCGTGTGCAGGAACCAGATTCGCGAGAAGTGAAGTGTCCGTGCATGCATTTTGCCAATGCTGCGGTGACATCACGCCACCGCAGTGGCGTGACGTCAGGGCCGCATGTTGGTGTATAGAAGCCTGCAGAACTCGCAAAATATAATGGCCATAATAGGGCATGCTTGGTACGTAGGAGTACAATCATGCATAACAAAATGTCTCAGGTCTGCTACCATAACTGAAAAAAAGTTTTACTGCAGAGTAGGGCACTTGAGGAAGTTTGGGAGTTCGGGGAACACCTCAGGGTACTCTGGGGATCCCCCAGGTCCCCAGGAACCCAGTGCAAGAACCCATGGCATACGCTATTCTAAAACTCGCCAATTATGAGGCGCAATAGGGAAACATGAAATCTGTTGTGCAGTGGGAGGGCAATGCAGAGAGCAAGTCAGCTGCTTCTTGCAGCGACAACAGAACGACGCCAAGCTCCGAATGGCTTTGATTGAAGGGATAGTGGGTAGGCCTCAATGCTAGATGCCTTGAGGTCTACCCACTATTTTAAAACGCAGCTCTTTAGCGCCCGTTTCCGGGTTGAGTGGCATCGCCGTCGGCGTAACCACCCAGCTAAATTTAGTGGAAAATTTTTCCGATAAATTTAGTGGAAAGATTTTCCAGTTAAATTTAGCGGGTTAAGTTTCCCGCTAAATTTTGCGGGGAAATTGAATTGGTGTTGAGGTCACGTGACATCAATAGACGATTTGCAGTTTTCCCGAGGGCCCCGGCCCGCGCGCGAGGAATTGTGGGGGAGACTGTCCCTCGCCTGGCCACTCTGCCTTGAGATCGCATTGCCTTGTCGTTTGCCTCCTCTTAATCCTCTGTTTTTCGATTCCATTACCTATTTTTATCTATCCCAGTGTACTTTTTATTGCTTCTAAGTACATAGTACTTAGAAGCAATAAAGGCAAGCGACAAGGCAATGCGATCTCAAGGCAGAGCAGCCAGGCGAAGGACAGTCTCTCCCACAATTCCTCGCGCGCGAGCCGGGGCGCTTGGGGGATTTTGCAAAAGGTCTATTGCCCCGCTAAACTTAGCGGGGAAACTTAACTCGCTAAATTTAGTGGGAGAAAACGAGGAGGAGCAGAAAAGGAAGAGGAGGAGGAGGAGGGGAGGAGGATGAGGCGAGGGTACAGAGGAGGGCCATACCCTCCCCCCTCCTCCTCAAGAACTGCGCTCTAATTTCGCATCACAGAGATTTGTAAACGTGGTTAATTTTTTTTAATCAGCCAAGAAAAGCTTGGCGTTCTGACAGAAATACAACCCCTGTGCAAGAAGCAGACAAACTTGGGCTCCGCATTGGATCCCCCCCCCAACCCAACACCCAAAAACGTCTCACCTTCTGCCCTTGCCAACGTGTGAGAAGGAGAGGGCGAAGAGGCAAGGCCTGACACCCGCCTCCCCAGCATGCCTTGCATCCGAAGCACCGAATGCTGGACGCCTCTGGAGCTGGTCGAAGCCTCCTCGGTGGAAGTCAGGTCCAGCTGCTGGCCATAGCCCGTCCCTGGATCGTCCATTGACGGCTTTAGAAGTACCAGAGTACCAGATTCTCCGGACTATAGTTTGCAGACTACACGTGTATGAAAGCTAAAATTTTACGCGGTATCTAGAGGCGCAGACTATACGAGAATTTGTTTTTCGAGTTTGTTAATTATAAAGAAGTGTGTAGTGGATTCTGTGAATGACAGGTTACATGAATGATGATTTCTGTGTGATACGATTCTGTGAATGACAGGTTACATGAATGATGATTTCTGTGTGATAGAAGTTTTAAATTCTTAGGCACTAATACTGCAAACATTTTTCCAGGTGTGCTGTGCGTAAAAAAACTTGCGCAGAGTATGTACTAAGTGCAGAATATTTAAAAAAGCTTTCTTTTCAGCCAAAATTTTTCCTCACGGACTATACACTGGGTGAAAACTGAAGTATGAAAAATATGATAGTACTAAGCCACCTTCAAGATTGTCCCGTTACAATTAAAGTTTGAACTATAATTGAGTTAGTCCCGGAAACATAAAAAGAAGTGATGTAAGGTGGTTGCTTAAAGCTTGCATCATATTCTCAGATGTGATGAAGCAGATTTCAATGTCCATGTGATTTTGCTTCAGATGGATAGAAGATGCCTAAAAAGGAAGCGTGCTCCATCCTAGCTGGGAAGATGTCTTTTATCCATTAAAGCCCTGCTTGCTTCCTTGGCATCTGTGAACAGCGAAATGTTAATTCTGTGGCAAATTTATTTTAGGCTATGAAAAGTCGACAGCAAAAGTCAAGCTACAGTTGAGCCCGGTGATATCACACCCGGGTATTTCAAGTTATTGTTTATATTGAACAGTCCTAACATCCCCTTAAAAATCGCATGTAGTAGTATAGGAGCGTTGTTTTCCTGTATCCAACTCCCATGAACTTCCATGGCGGGGACACTCGATACAGCGAACTAAGCACAGCCGCCCGTTGCATCTCCCGCGGTCGGATTGCGCCCGTGGGGAGCACATGGGGAGCACATAGCTCGCCTTGTGGGACTGGCAGACTGCCATGCCAGCATACAAATACGCAACAAAAAAAACTGTTGTAAAAAAAAAGTGGAGGATTGCAAAAACAAGGAGAAGGGCACCTCGAGCGCCGCCGTGGAAGGGTTGGGAGGGGAGGGAGTGCCTGCTGCTGGAACGACAGCGTGGCAGCGTGCGCTCTTTCCCCCAACACCACTGTGGCTGCGCGACTCCCTAACCCAAAATAAAATAAGAAAAAAAAAAAGTATTCGTCAAGTTGAGTGTGCCGACAACAACGGTTGAGCAATCAAACTTTGAAGGCCTTATCTTTTGTTTATCATTTTCTTTCGCCGTTTTTGCTTTGCCAGTTTTTTATTTTTTTCATTTTTCTTTGCCTTTCTTTTTTTTGCTGCCTGAATTTAGTGAGGTTTCTTTTTTTTATGCGGCTTTCTTTTTTTTTTTATTATTTTCGTGTTTTGTTGTTGGCGCTGCCGTGGCCAGGTGTAAACGATCACAGACACCGTTGGGGTCGCGTAAACGCGGCGGTGTTTGTGATCTTCATTAACTAAACTCTACTGTATTTAGAGGCTCTATTTGGTAAGATCCCGTCAGTTGCGGCCTTCGGTATTAGCAAAGACGGGGGGAAATTTCAACTGGAGCTTAAGTTAACATACTTTTGTATATCAAATTATTGATATATCGAACTAGTTTACGATATATCCGATATATCCGGGTTCGACTGTACCGAACTTCATCCCCCATTGCTCTCGGCCAGACAAAAATCAGCTTGACTACAAACTTTTTTTATGATCTCTCGTCACTTGAACAATGCCGGTTCCCACTAAGGCTAAATCCTTGAGAGTTAAAAGAACTAAGATATACCATATTTTCACGAATACAGTCAAACCCGACTATGTCAAACCCGTTTATATTGAATTATTCCTTATATCAAACAATTTTGTGCACAGTAAAGTTACAGTGATAATATATAGGAAAAACTATGATTACATCGAACAAAACTAGCAGCTGCTACCGATATATCGAACTGCCAAAAGCGCGGTTTGACGCGGCCGCCCGGAAGAAAAAATAAGCCAGCTTGCTCTGCTAGCTGGCTTTCCCCCAATGCAGACAAAATCACTGCCGCCTCTTCCACCTCAACTCCAGCTGCGGGTTTGTCGAAGCAGCATTTCCAAAGAGAATTGGCAATGGTCTCCGGCTTGATAGAGTTCCACGCGGTGGCGAGAATGGGTATTGCGCCGAGAAGATCGATGGCGTATGCCTTTTCGCTGTTTAGACAGAAAATCATCCTCTCCACAATGTGCCTTCGGTACAACGTCTTTAAGTTCTGGATGATTGGCTGCAGCATTGACATTGTGTTCGTTGGTGAAAACACCAAGCGAATCGTACGTAGGTCTTGGACATCACAGTGCACTGTGCAGTTGTCTACAAAAAGCAGAATATTTCGGCCTTTCGAAGCAAATATTTTATCAAGTGCATGGAGCAGGTCTAAAAAAAAGATTCATGGACATCCATGCCTTTTTGTTCACAAAGTAATTGAGGGGAAGGGTCCTCACACCTTTCACACCTTTGCCGATCATGAGCAACAGGCATTATGCCCGTCGCGTCTGCACACACCATCAACGTATGTCTTTCTTTGCTCCTTTTCCCACCGGCACAGTCACTGCCTTCAAAAGTGATTCTTTTCTTGGGGAGAAATTTGTAATAGACCGCCCTCTCGTCTCCATTAGACACCTCGTCAAGCGAGTAGGACACAAAGCGATCCTTCAGCTCCCCGCATAGCCACCCTTCCTTCGCATGTGGCTCTGTCCGCGTCCACCTTCTTGCCGCAAAAGGTCTTGAAAGTAAGGCCGCGGTGTTCGTCAAACCGTGACAGCAATTCGTCTGATGCCGGAAACTTTTAGATGGCCATCTGGCTTGCAAACTCCATCGCCTTGGTTGCAATTATCGGCCCATTCACTGGAAGGTTTCAGTTACAAACCTGTTTCATCCATATGACGTGAGCATCTTCAAGCTGGGGATGTGCTGACATCTGCAGCCCCTTCCTGGAAGTTTTATGCTCATTTTCATATCCAGTGAAGATGGACTCCCTGTTCTTTACGTACGTTGACAGAGTGCTTTTCGTGATGCTGTGTTTTTTCGCTGTTTCCCTCTTGGAAAGGGCGCCTTGGTCAACTTCTTGCGGTATCTCGACCTTCGTCTTGAGGTCCTTTGGTGGGCGTTACGTGCCCCGGCTTGCCATGATGCTTGGGAACGAGATAATGTCAGTTGCGCGCCCACCCAAAACACGCCGAAGTGCAGCAACGTGCGAGTGCAAGGAGAGAAATGTGACTGTCACGCTTCCACCGAAAACACGCCGAAGTGCACGCACTGTCATGGTGCATGAGAAAAAGAAAACAACAGTAGCCGCTACCAGCACCGCAGTGCCCACCGCAGCATTCAAGGTCTCCCCGTGACTGGTTGTCATGGTTATACTTGGAACTGGAGGCGGGAGTAGCAGCTGGTGCCAGGAGTAGCACAGCCGCACTGCCGGCGCCGCCAGGCGAGTTGGCCCAGTGCTGAGGGCATGGTCGGCGGAGCGGGATGTTCGAATTAACCGGCGCAAACGCGCTTGGATTACTGACTGCTTTTGCACACTGAAATATACATGGTGTAGACCAGACCACAGTGTCAATCCAAATAAACCAGAAGTTCAAATTAACAAGATTCGACTGTAATGCATGGGGACAGGGCAGCATATTGAAATTTTTTTATGTAAAACCAACCCCTAAATTATGCATGTGAGGAAACTTTCACCTCGCTAGGTGCAGGCGCCAAGTTTTCCGACTCATTTTATGGTAGTCCTGATTGCTTTTATGGTCACACTAAAAAGAAATTTAAGAAAAGAAAGACCTCCAGTACTCACACTCAGCATTTTGCTGCCCTAGCCATTCACTAGCCTAGCACAAGAGATTGTATGCTGGAGGCAACACATGAATTTCATCTTCATCCCTCTTCTTCAATCCAAAGCGTTCCACTGCACCCCAGATGGCCATGGGCATAGCAAGTTTAAAGAATTTAAAGTTTGCCTAGTCCATCTATGGCACAGTAAGCCATTCAACCAATAGTGGTGGGTTGCAGCTACTCTCTAATGTCCAGGTCAATTTACCTAAGCACAAAGTAATAATGATTACACCTTTTAATTTTATTTAAGAAAGGCCCACCAGTCAGCGCTTCCCCTTCCAAGTTACAATTTTTGCATTCAAAGATGATGGCCTTGAACTTACCATGTTCAGCCTCCTGAATATGGTGATGCTCACCAGACGTGTCAACATAGGCCTCTGAGGTATTGATGATATGCTGGAAAAAGACAAACCCAGAAAAGCTCATTTCTTCTTTTCATTTATAATGTTGCAGACATAACACACAAACTGAGATTTAACAGGTCCCTAGGTGGATCACGAAACAAAAATGAAAGCACCAGTCAGTAAGATTCTGCATTTTTCTATCAATAAAAAGAAATTGTGATAAAAATATGTCAGTATTTTTTTATATATTTTGATTTTTTTATGTGACCTACAGAATTCCAGTTTCAAAAGAGCAGCTGAAAACTTTTTCCTTTAAGGATCCTTGCGCCCCCCCCCCCCCCCCCTCCCTCCCTCCCATGCCGCAGGCTGCGTGGCAGGACCATACAAAGCACCTTCATCTCACTATGTACTGACATTGCGATTGATATGGTGGGGATATATGGGAAGCAACACAAGCAAAATTGCGTACAATTGTGCATCTGTTGCTTCTCAGTCGGCAAATATAGAGGAGGGGCGGAGGGGGGGTTCCGCGACAGTTTTTGAGGCCTCCTGGGCCCGTTTTCTCGAACGCGAACCGTGGTTTAAAGTTAACTATTGTCCCTAGAAGGGGGAATTCCAGGTCACGTGACTGGGAGAGCAGGGGCGCCGAGGGAGGAGCAGTACCTAGAAGCAAAATGGCCGCGGCGTCGCTTGATGAGGGCTAATAGTTCTGCTTGGTTCTGCTGAACATTCATTTCGATATGGCTGTTATATTAATGACTCACCATCAACCTATTAGCACGTTAAGCAAAGCGATAGTTCAGAGGGACTACTAAACTAACCGACGGCAGCATTCCGCGAACGCATCACTCTTCAGCAGTCCGGGATCCAAGACATATGACGGTACATAAGCCTTGCAAGTGTTTTTATGGTGAGTAAAAAAAATGTTTTGCGAACGAGTGTTGGTACATATTTATACTAAGACGTTTCATTTGTTACATTATGCACGCCAACTCGTGAGCAGCGATTACTTTGCGGAGAAAGGGGGTTATCCTCAATAAAGTCTTCGTTCCGGGTGAACAGCTGAGTACCGTCTTTTTTTGTTCACAGTGCGCCAACAGTGTGCCGACAGCATTGAGGTTTTTACATATCCCCGGTGGCCAGCAATTCAACGGTGACGAGAAGCTTAGCTTTTCTCGTCACCGGTGAATCGGTTGGGCAAACGGAAGAGAGGGCAAACAGTTGAGATCAGCAGAAATCGCAGAAACGTGCGTCGCAGGGAACGAAAACGAGACTACAGCACCGGCGTTGCCAGACTGAAAGAAACACGGGAAGGTTATGCATTGTTTATGGCGAAACATATTGAAGGAAATGTTTTTTACATTTTCGAATATTTGTCGACAAACTCTAGCATAGTAGCTAAGATTTCTTCGTACCATCGGAAGCATATAAATTGGTCTTCAAGTACAACATTATTATATTTTGACTTCATACTAGATCGATGACAACCAGCGGAAAAAGAGGATAAACAAAATGACTGGCTTGTTTCACCGATAGATGGCGCATCTTATTGCCCAATCAAAAATAATTATTGTTTTTCTATATCCAGCCGTTTATTACAGTACCTAGGTACTTTTCCCTTCCTAGGCACCGTGGTTTACCAAAATGGGTTTACCATCGCTTCGAGAAAACCGGCCCTGGGGTTCCGTGAGGCCAAAAAGTTTGAGAACCCCTGAACTATAGAATGCCTATAGAAAAAAATGAAAGACATTTACAATTCTCTGAAGTGTCAAATTAGAGTGCAGCTCTTAAGGAGGAGGAGGCGAGGGTAAGGAAAAATGGGAAATTTCTCGCTAAATTTTCTGCTAAATTTAGTCAAAATTTCCGTGCTAAATATAGCAGGGAAATATTCCCGCTAAATTTAGCAGGAAATTTACCAACATTTTTCTGCTAAATTTAGTGGGAACTTAGCAAAACTTTCCTTGCTAAATTTAGCGGGGAAACTGAATCGGTGTTGAGGTCACGCGACATCAATTTCCTGGTTAAATTTAGCGGGGCAATTTTTTTCCTAAATTTAGCAGAAAAGCTTTTCCGCTAAATTTCATGTGACGTCACATGTGACGTCACGAGGCTAAAATTTTCCCACAAAATTTGACGAGAATTTTTTGTGCTAAATTTAGCGGGGAAATTTTCCCACTAAATTTAGTGGGAAAATTTCCCTGCTAAATATAGCGGAAAAATTGTCCCACTAAATTTAGCGTCCCATAATGTCCCATAATGGAAACGTCCCATAATGCAACGCGTGGTGACGCGTTGCCACTCAACCTGGAAACAGGCGCCTAAGAGCTGCACTTTAAAAAAAAGCTATGCATCAGTGTTACCAACACCTTCACCAGTTGCATTTGATAGTTTTGGTGTCATTCTTTTGTGGCGTAGTTTCTGTGTGAAAGGCTGCCCACACAGGAAACGACTCTCTCCGACTTTTGTCATTCCCAATTTTTCGACTCCCACAGGAGCGCATGCAAAGCTCCCTCCTAGATCCACTTTCCTGCTAGTTCATTTTGCGTACAGACCTATAAGATGCAAAAGCCATGAATAGCAAAAGTTGGAGGAAGTCATGTCCTGCAAGACAGCCCTTGATCAGGACTGTTAGCAAGTTCCAGTGGACATACAGCAGAAATGTTCTTTCTTAATTTTGCAGACAATTGTGATTGCCTCGACCTTTTGCATTAACTGAAGGTGAGCTCAATGACATACCTAAAACAGTGCACAAGCACAGGAGGAAGAAAATAGAAGACATGAAAGAGTGCCGACTCCCAACTTATGTATTTCTTCCTCCTGTGCTTGTGCGCTGTTTTAGGTATGTCTTCTAAGTACCAGCTAGCTCAACTATCTATGTTACTACAATGAGCTCAACGAGCCATTATTGCTCAAGCTTGCAACGAACTACAAACAGGTAAGCCAACTTCGGAGCTTTCTAGCACATAGTCAGATTTAAAAAAAAAAAAAAAATTCCGGCACACAAAATTTTTAAGCGAGAAGGTCACGCAGCAGTAGTGTCAGCGTGTAGGCATGTGCGAGTAGTGGATTCTGAGTTTGAAGTGAATTCAAAGCGAATAGTGGTTTGGGCCAGATATTTTCCAATAGAATATTGAATTGTTCCTCCTAGCCCTCCACTACTGCACCATGCTTGAACGAAAACCCAGCTGAACTTGCAAAGGTTGCTCCCAAGCTTCCACTTGTCCATTTTAAGCTAATTTTAATTTAACTATATAATAGGATGGGAACTTAGAAAGTACAATGCCTACATGGAATGGCAAGTAAAAGACAAATTTGTCAAAAAATTTGATCTAGAGGTCCCCCGCTATACCTAATTGAGGGGATTTATAAATCTTCCTGCTATATGCAAATATCCTTTGTTAAATCTCGAATTGGAGAAGAAAAAAAAAAGACAATGTTGAATGATGATTGCAGATTGTTCACATCTCTGCCTAACATGAATTCTTGCAGAATAGCTGGTTTAATTTTGAAAATTTTACTGTATAGTGTAGGCATCAACATTCACAAAGTTTCCATCATTTTTTAAATACACAGGTGTTGTTGACAGCAGTGGGTTAGCCCCATTGAGCATGCTTCTCACCTAGCACAAGTGCACTGCAGAGAAGCAACACCTGCAGAAGCGAGCTCCACGGGTGTTGCTTCTCCATAGTGGACCGGCGTCCTCTAAGAAGTGCGCCCAACGAGGCTAACCCACTGCGATCGACACTTCCAAAAAAATGCCAATATTGCAGTTCACCTCGAAGCAAATATTGAATAGCGTATTATTCGAAAGTACTATTCTAAAATCAAAATATTCGCACAATCCTATCAGCGTGAGAAGAACGTCGACACGGCCCACACAAACTCATAACTGAGCTTGCCTCCGAACTATCTGCAGAGTCTACCGTGGAATGGATCCCAGGCTCTGCCACACCCCCCGTTGACACGAGGTCGGCACTTGACGAAACATAGTTCTGGATAGCACCATTCTGGTGGCACGCCTGGTTGGCAGCGTGGTACTGCTGCACGTCCTGCAAAGATGAAGCACAGCAACCATTATGATTTAAAGTATATGCGGGGCAAGCGAGGTCATTACGATCTAAATACAGTAAACTCTCACTTGAGCGAACTTCAAGGAACCCAAGGAAATAGTTCACTTAACTGAAAGTTCACTAAACTGAATATATTCACTAGAATATATTCAGCCATACAAAGCCATACCGCAACAGCATTGTCCACTGACTTGAAATATCCCGTGCAGTTGTTTCCTGTTGGGATTAAACGCAGTTTCTCCTTCAACCTTCGACTTTTGCTTAATCCTTGAGAACGTTGACGGTAGAATCCCATAGTCCTTCGCAAAGTCCACTTGTTTTTGACCGTTGTCCAAATGCTGAAGGATTTTGAGCTCGTCAGCTAGGGACAACCGCTTTCGTTTCATCGTACTCATTATGAAAGGGGGCACACAAACTGTTGTTTTGCCGTTCTTACCCTAAACTAAGATGGCTCAATGGAACCGGTGATAAATAAAAAAACAGACACACCATGTGGTTTGTTTTTTGTCTATTGCACCGCCGCTTTGCCTTCGCGGCCCTGTAAACACCAGCCATGATACGCCGCCGCTGCAGAGGCAGCGGTGGTGGGGCGACGGGCATCGGCTACGCCAGCAGTGCAGAGCACAAAACTTTGTCGAACTGATTGCAAAAATAACCCTGGATTCACCGATCAAGCTCGTTGAACTGAAATGTTTATTATTCTGAAATTTGTTTATTTGTTTAACTGAAACTTTTGCATAGAATGCATAGGAAAACTGCTGGGGATTTTTACAGCGAAGCTGTTAAGGGCTAGTTTCTCCAGGATCGTGTGAATCCTCAAATGACCGGATGAGACAGAACTCTGGACAGCTACAGCCATCACTGAGCACGGCTGCAACCAGACAACCGGCTTGCTGGTTGTCCAGTTGTTGCTGTTGCTCATCGATGGCATCAACCTTTCGAGCCTTTTCACTCTGGCTGGCCGGCTTGCGGCCAGCCATTATTTCATTCCCACCATAGTACAGCATTGCTGGCCTTCCTTCTTCACCAGAGTGAAAAGGCTGAAAAGTTTTTTTTTAAGGTTGGCTATTCTGAAATATTTGTTAAATCGACATTCGCTCAAGTGAGAGTTTACTGTATACGCTCATGCACACGGGAGAACCGGGGCAGCCAAGTCATGCCCGGCGCTGCTTGTGGGTCCCTGCAACTGCCTGCAAGATTCTGCCACCACAAAATTCAGCCTGGAACCTATCGGATGTTAATGATTTAGGGAAACTCCCCAAGAAAGAGAGGATACACACAAGAATAAATGGACTTCCAACCGAGCACAACTCCTGAACTCTAGGCCAGGGCTTGGCAACCGGCGGCTCGTGGGCAACATACAGCCCACGAGGCAATATTATACTACTGGCACGCTACTAGAGTATGCCAGTGTGTAGTGTGTTCTCTTCTGGTAAGTGATTAAGCTACAGAGTTTTTATCTTAACCATAAGATTAAGGTAAGTATAAGATAAAAACAAATAACATGACTCCAGCCAGTTAAAAGGAAACCCAATGCACCTGAGCACGCTCAAACGTAAATATATGAACCAGCCTTCACGCAGTCCCCAAAGCACTGCTCTCGCTAGACCACCACTCACGTCGAGCAGGTCCCCGGCATCCTGGCCAGTGCTGCTGACGAGGGCCACCTCCCCGCGCTCCGTGACAAACACGTCCACCGGCAGGGACACGCCCTGGGCTCCGTGCGGGTGGTGGGCGGCATACAGGGGCACCCCGTGCACGTCCAGCAGCCCCACCGCGGAAGACGAGTCCAGCAGGGGGGCCTCTTCGCCCTCCTCCTCCGCGTGGGGGTCGGCTGGGGAAGGCGGGGCATGCAGGGGCACGAAGCGGTGGGCAGCCAGCAGGTGCTTGGACTGCAGCGAGAAGGACAGGCCCCCGTGGGAAGGGGTGCACGGGGAAGACGAGGAGGCCGGCGGGGGGCCACCCGGGGATGAGGCCGAGGAGCAAGGGCCCTGCAGGATCGAGGGCAACAGGTCCCTGGACACCCGGAGAAGAGATGGCAATGAGTAGAGCACTAAAAGGCAGATAGAAGGCTGTAACCACGGCTCTTTATGTACTATAGTCGCGGACAAGGTGTGAACGGCAGGGAGAACCTTTGGGTGTCCTGCCTTCGGTGCGAGCTTCCTACCCTTGACCTCAATTCAACGTACCTTGCACCTCACGCATGCGCAAGAAGGCAAAGCACAGCGCAAGCCATAGGGTGCATGCTCGAGGCCGGGTGTTTGAAAGATGTGCCCTGCCGTTCTCGTTCGGTCGGCGACCATAATGAGCAAATTCCTTTTATGAGGAATGCATTTTAACGGAAGCGAAGTTGGGATTTCTGCAGCTGTCGCGTCACAGTCGCCGTAGCCGTACCGTGCCATCGTCGCCTAAATCTAGGAAGCCGTCATGCAGTAAATTTAGCGGGTACATTAAATTTAGCGGCTACATGGTCACGTAGTCTAGTGGTCGGTGTCACTAAGGGTCACATGCTCGCGTGATCGTGTGACATGCGCCGAGTCACGTGACATCACACATAACAGTGCGAAGTTGTGGTGTCAAAGGACGTTATGGTGTCAACATTATTACAGTAAACTCGCAATAATTCAAACTCGGATATTTCATACTCCTCGTTAATTCAAACAAACTTCAGAATTTCGGTTGTCCCGCTATGTTTTTAATGTATTCATAAGCATCTTAACCTTTTGGGGTCATGTGAGTTTTCCCCTTGTCGGCCCCTCAGGTCAGAATTAGTTTATGCAAAAGTGATGCAAGCAACAAGTGACTTGAAATTTAACGTTTTTATTTTAATATAGTAATATGTTCAATTGAAAATAACTCTGCATTTTCCTGGGTGCTTTCAGTTCTTGAAATGCTAGCGGTACTTGCGCAGCGTGTGGTACTTTTCAAAGCAAGCGCCAGGGTGCAGGCCAGGTTGACAAGTGCAGGTTTTGCAGTAGAACACTGTTTCGCGCCGTTGCCCCTTGGTTTTTCTGTTCTTGCAGATGGCGCAGTCCTTGTTTTTGCTTCCATCGAGTTTATAAATAAAGTGGTTCTTTCCACTCAGTCTCTCTTCACAGTCTCCATCAGAAGAGCGCCCCCGTTTCCTTGGCTGGTTGCGGACATTTCCAACAAGGTCCTTTATCAATGCCTTCCAAAACGTGAGGTGCTGCGGTGCTTGCTCGCCTTGGCTGAGTTTTTCGAGGCAGAAGTGGATGGTAGCTGTTGACTACTCCCACTTCCAGCAACAAAAAAAATAGGCATGCGCGGTGGCGGCGGCGCATGTCTCCTCATCACTCTCGGTGCTGTCACCATCACTCTCTGAGGACTCATCAGAGACTATCTCAGAGGCCTCCTTTACATCATAGGTGTCTTCTCCACTAAAATCACATTCACTGTCACTTGAGTCACAAGCCTTTCCGTAAAATGCGGACGGAGTAAAGGTTGCCATGATGAACTCGTAAAAGGGCGCGCAGCATTCCCGCCCGCGCAGTTCGCAAAAAAAAAAAAAAAAAATGTGTAGCGTCACTTGCAGCACCTTTCGAAGGGCGAAGTCTAGTTTACATTCCCGATGACAGATGGCGCAAGTTGACATTGTCGGGGCGCGCCCGACACCTGACCTCAAAGGAGAAATGGGCCTGTCGGGGGAGCCCCGACATTTGACCAGAACCTGAATATTTTTTTGTCGGGGGTCACCCGACACATGACTCCAAAGGGTTAATTCGGGCAGCATTTTCGTCCAATTTAAACTTTTTGTTCTCGCGGCCCCGTTGAGTGCGCTTCTTTCCGAGCACCGGTGCATTGCAGAGAGGCAACACCCGCGAAGCTTGCTTTCGCGGGTGTCGCTTCTCCGCAGTGCACCGGTGCTCAGTGAGAAGCACACTCAACGGGGCTCAAACAGGGCAGACATGAGCTATGAAAACGGGCACCACGCAGAAATTTCTATAGCAACTTGAGCGGACGCTGTGACGTGGCCAGGGTATTGAACCGAGCCCAAAACGTGAACTGAAAACTGGAAAAAACCGTTATTTTGGCTCAAACCGAAGTTGAACCGGAACGAAATAATTTTTTTCGCTCTGGAGCGGAACCGATATGTCTTCCATGCGGTCTTCGGTTCATACACGAAGTCAGTTTGCGTGAAAAGCGTGCGGCGAAAAACACAGTAACAAAAAAATTAAACAAAAAATGTAAAAAAAATCAAACTTATTTTTGTGCAAACCGGAGAAAGCCGTGCGCTTGTTAAGAGACTACGCGTTCAATATGTGTTACGTCCCTGATCAGGAAGCTAGGATTGAAGAAACCAATGCTTGATTGTCCAACGTGGTGGATGTCCACGCTGCATATGCTCACTGGGCTACTTGAACTAAGAGGCTTCGCTGGAGGGTTGCTCTCAAAAGAAGAAAGCTCCAGGTCGACTGAAGATGTATGGGCGGAAGTCAAAATGCTCGCACTATCGCTTTGAACTGGCAGAAGTGGCGGCGATGCCATTACAGAAGGAACAGCTCACTGTAGGAGATTTCTACGTCACATGGCTAAGATATTCCATGGACACTTCCAAGATATTGTCGCCGTTAGCAAAGGTGCAGTCAATGAAAAAGAGGGAGCGACAACTTCTTGACACGGATGTCTTCTGTGCAGCAGTGTACATAAATCCCCGCTACCGCCTTCTTCTCACCCCTAGCAAAAGTACCGGGTCCCGTGGCATTTGACAGAGACTTGGAGGCGGATCACAGCTCTGCAATGCAAGCAAGATCCTACCTTGACTTCTAAAACTGCGGCGGCTCCAGAAGATCCGGAAGACGCCCTGGAAGCGCTCCTCAAGGAAAGAGATTGAGTCTGGCGTGCACGTTCGAGGTACCAGTAGCCCACTTTCTATAGCATGCCTCCTGGAAATGCTAGACAAGGAGCCGCGGCTTTCAAGGGATGCTAACGTGTTGCAGTTTTAAGAGGAGAGACGGGAGCCCCATCCAAAATTCTGCACATTGGCGCAAGTCGCCCTGGGAGTGCCTGCGACCCAGGTCAGCGTGGAGCGAGCCTTTTCTGCACAGAGGTTCATTTTATGGTCTCAGAGGTGCAGTCTTTCCCCAGATATGCTTGACGACATCCTGCTTCTTCGGTCAGCTGCCTGGCATTTAAATGCGCTTTCACCCACACCCGAGGTGCCCCAGCACTAGATCGTTCGTTCCACACAGTAATTTGAGGCTTTGCGTTTTAGATGTAACACTTTTGTAAAAGATGCATAGTTTATCTTTTGCTGTCCTGAATTGTTTTTGTAGCATATGGGTACAAACCGGTTCGAACCGGTTTGAACCTTTAGTTTTTCACTCCGGAGTTGAACTAGAGCTGAACCGTTTTCCCTGAACTGGAACGAAAACCGGAACGAAAAACATTTCGGTTTGACACCCCGGACGTGGCGGCATGGCATAGGTCTACGTCACAGCGTCCGCATAAGACAACTCCCTCTTTCCGTCACGGCATCGTGAAAAAGGAAGGCACTCTCTTTTAAAGAGAAGTTTGATATACTTCAGACGGTGGATCGCAATCCCAGCCGGAAGAGATCTGAGATCGCAAGAGACCTCAGACTCGCGCCATCCACCTTGAACAGCATCGTCGCCAAACAAAAGGAGATAGAGGCGAAAGCCCCTTTTTATCAACCAGCTTCAAACAGGCTCGGGGGGGCAAAACACGCAAAGTTGGAGGAGGCCCTGCTAGTGTGTTCAAACAAGCCAGGGCATCTTGTGTCAACATCGATGGAGGCATCCTACGAGAGAAGGCGCAAGAGATTGAAGACCGTTTGGATATCGCGGACTTCATGTGTTTCAACGGGTGGGTTGACCGCTTCAAGAAGCGTTACAATATTTCATACCGCACAGTGAGCGGTGAAGCTGCCAGCGTTGATCCAATTTGTGTGGAAGCATTTAAGTCATTGCTGCCTTTGATCATCATCAAGTACCACACACGCGACGTTTTCAACGCCAACAAAGCTAGTTTTTTCTTCAATGTCCAGCCCACAAAGTCATTGAGCTTCAAAGGTGAAGCCTGCCATGGCGGAAAGAGTAGCAAGAACCATTTTACTGTTCTACTGTGTTGTAATGATGACGGGTCAGAAATAATGAAACTGTGGGTAATCAAGAAGTTCCGCAACCCGCGATGTTTAAAGAACCTTCGTCGGATGCCCTGCCACTACCGAAGTAACACTCGTGCATGGATGACAAGTGCTCTTTTTGAGGCTTTTCTGCGATACCTTGACTCACGAATGGGGTTGCAAAACAGAAAAACATTCCTGTTCATCGACAACTGTCCGGCCCACCCAAAGAACTCGTTGTTTCTCAAAAACGTCCGGGTGGAGTATCTTCCTCCAAATACCACAAGTAACCTCCAGCCGCTCGACGCGGGCATAATACAAAATGTCAAGCACGTCTACCGGAAGCGGATTGTACGGCGATCGCTAGCCGGGTGGAACGAGGTGATGCACCGACCAAGCTCTCCATCCTAGATGCGATGCACTTTCTCGCTGTGCAGCACTGCTTCCGCAAGTGAGGGTTTCAACACGCGGGGCAAGTACAGGCGTTAACAGAAAACAACGCCGACGAAGATCCTGAAGACTCGCAAGAAATGGAAGATGCTATGGCAGAAATGGGAGCTCCATCAGCTAATGTGAATATGCGTCGCTTGACGACAACATCGTTACCTCTGAAACGCAAAGTATAGCGGACATCGTGGTCGACCTCACTATTGCTGACAACGAAGAAAGCGATAAAGATGTCGAGCAAGAAACAAAAGATTACTCTACACCCACATTTGCGGACGCGATCATCGCGTTGGACGCCTTGCACTGCTCAACATTAATTCGAAGCGGCAGGCAGATATTACGCGCTTTTGTGAACATGTCTGAGTCCTCAACAGTTCTGTAAGTACACATAAAATAAACCATTGTATAAGAGCTGCTTTCTATCTTATGTAGAGCCCCCCTAAGTGCGTTATCGGTTGCTACGTCTTCCCGGATAATACGGCTTTTTTCCGAATCCCCTGAAAAACATATCAACGAGGTTCTACTTAGTTATAAAAATCTGGCATCTGCTATAAACCGCTAAGGCTACATTTGGGCGGAGAATCTGCATTCGGCGATGCATAGTTTATTTTTGCAATGAAAAAAAAAAAAACGTAAATTTTTGGGGGGACACCCTGTATTACGTTTTATTAAAAAACCTTCAGCTCTAGAGACTTCTCCGTGAGGTTTGAAGGAGGGAATGCACGGGAATTAGTAGAACTACCAAAGGCCCATTCCAGCTACAAGGTAGTTGTTGCTACGATTGTTGACTTCTCTTTTCAGTGCTAGATAGCAAGTGTTATATCGATTGAGGAGTTGTAAAAAAAGATTTCATGCTTTGTCTGCCAGTGTATTCTTATCTACGAGACTTTCTTCCCCACTCTGGGTTTATTTATTTCCTACAGCATAGCGCTTTGGTTGGGTGCTGGTTTGAGCAAGATCAAGCGTCAGACTCACCCCTAAAAGCGGCTTTTCTTGTTGTGGTGCAGCAGTGTATTCCTAATGTAATATTTGTTTCGCTGATCAGTGTGTGTTCACGCCAGAATTTATGGTGTGGTAATTTACGCTTCTTTTGAACATGGTTGATGAAAATCAGCTTAAAAAGATGGGGACAAAGGGAGGAACAAACACGACAGGATGGAGCTGAACTTGCAACTAAATTTATTACTTGAAATGTTTCATCAACCCTGCTTAATTATTACCAACTGGCCCAGCTTACTACTTTTTTACACTGCTTTTGCAATGTTTCCATCCTTGTCGTACGCTATAGTCCGTTGCAACTCAAAAAGTTAGGGCGAGGGTAAGGCGGGCAGGGGAGGAGGAGGCAGACGAAATGCTAGAGAAGAAAGGGGGAACCTCCTTCTTTCTTTAGTGTTCCGCCTGCTTCCTCCTTCCCGGCCCGTCTTACCCTCGCCCTACCTTCTTGAGTTGCAACGAACTATAGTGTGGTCACACATACACACCTGGAGGCCAGGTCTGCCACGAGGTACTGGGCTTGTTCCAGGAGGTAGCGATGCGAGAGCGCCGTGGCAGCGAGCCCCCGGCTCGTGACCGAGGAAGACGGCCCGGCGACCGAGAGTGCTGATGTGGAGCATGCCACGAGGCTGGACTTATCCAGGAGCACAGGAAGCCCCAGTGCGGCCGCGCTGGCGGGGCCCACTGTCAGCTGACTCTCCAGACGCACGGACGATTCATCTCCGCCGTTTGCTCCGCCGCTCCCGCCGCCACTTGGCGGGAGCACGAGCTGGAGCGCGGGGGAGTGGGACTCTGGGGGCGTCTGGTCGGCGGGAGGGGACGTGGGGGAGGAAGAAGGGGCCCTCGAGATGTGGTGGCTGTGCAGATGATGCCGGTGGTGGTGGTGATGGTGGTGAAGCGGGCTCGAGGTGCTGTGATCCACGGGGTCGCGGGAAGAGGTCGAAGCGGAGGAACAGTGCTACGAGGCAGGGGGACGGGCAAAGGGGAAAAGTATTAGACTAGCTGCAAGCCACAAATGGTAGCAATGCGCCACGCTTTCTTAGCAATGGCTGCAAAACCGAGGTTTTCTCGATTTATCTTGTACAAAAGGTAAAAGTTTATATCTAGCACAAAACAATTCACTCTCTTACTTTCCTATTTTGGTGTTTCGCAAGCAGTTGCACTACACTGTCTAAACTTCCTTTAAACAGCAAAGAGACAAGTCACCACCGTCCTCAGCAGACTAACATCACATTGTCTAAACGTCCGTAGTTCGTACAGTCGAGCCCGTACTACAACCATTTCGCCTTTGACTTAGGCGCCTTCTTCCATTCCCTCATTTTTCCTCTTAGACTTATCTCATTCCTAGCATATATATGGATTATGATGGTAAGCCACCAATCCAAATTGGCTCTTCTTTCTTTCCCTGTCTTGAAACGTTTTTCAGAAGCCTCGCCTCTCCTTAAGTATTTAACTAAATGTTACATACTCGATGGAGCAAGGATGCTGGTGAGGTAATTAAGACATTTTAACCTCGAAGAGTGAGACAAAATTGGAAACTCGCCAATGAGAACAAAAAAGATTTGTTTGTTATTTTCCCTCTTGGTCCTCACTCTCCAGAGTGAAATGTATAGACTTGCAGGTAGGGTAGAACTAAGAAAATGGGTCCTGAGAAATTCTCCGAGCTACACGCCACTACAGAGAACATCGAGTACACTCTCCAAGGCTCCAAGGCATAATTTCGTGCTGGGGAGAAGTGTGACTACGCAATAAAGAAAACAAAGAACTGCCACCGCATATGCTCCCTCAGGACTTGTCTCGTAAATATCAGGTAAAACTTTCGAAAAAGATTGTAGCTAAGCCAATGATTTTTCCTTAGTTGGCATAAAGGGTAGTACATAAACACTTTCCTGCACCGCACATATTTTCACATGAAGTATGTTTCGAGAGACGAGCAAACGTCTTGACGCAGAGGTTGCATTCATAGTGATTCCCCTGAGAGGAAGCCCGGCTATGGATCCACCAGAGGATTCCGTGTGCAGCTGTTCGCACTCACCAGATCCAGAACCTGAGACATGGCCACCATCTCTTCCGCCTGCCTGGACTCCATCTCCTGCTCGTAGTGGGGAAGCGACTGCTGGGAGTCTGACCTGGGGACTGGAGAGCCCCTGAACGTTGCCACCGTGACAAGGGGAGGGCCTCCTCCAAACGGGACCTGAGAGGACAGATGCAATACTCTCCAATGCAGTGTGGTCTAAGCCGATACACTGAGCAAGGGGGTACCTGCTCGGCAAATGTCTAAACAGTGTGCGGAGCGCAGAGCTACAAACAGGTACATAGTAAGGGATTGATTTAGACACGTCTACTCACTGTTCAAGGTCAGTTCCCTTAGTAGATAACCTTAGCCTACCTTAAACTGACATACTATGTTGACAGGATTCTATGTGCTTACATCGGCCCCTTTTCTCTCATTAAAATTGGCTATTTCTCAGGCAGAGTGAGACTCGTTGTTGACACAATTCGACTTAGCTCGACACCTTCCAAATCGGAGGCAGTCCAACCTCTACTTGTGAGATAGCTATGACAAACCCTGCCAGTCACAAAAGCATTGCCAGGGCATATCAAAGAAAGTGACTGAATTCAACACTATATTATAATAGGGAAAGCTTGACAGAAGCAAGAAAAAGACAAGAGAAACAGAACGAAATGAAAAAGCCAGAGAAACCATTGACTAAAAACTACACAGCTGAGAGGAATGCAGATTCACTTGTCAATGAATACAATGTGAGTGTCAGCCGGTTTTTAGGTCTGTTGGGGAACCTTGAACTTCCATAACCACATAACAGTATGTTGCTTGAGAGCTTTGATGTGCATGTTTACTGCGGAAAATAAATGAAAAATAAATTTACACATTGCAGTACAGTCACTAAGTGTGTAAAGTGTAAATCCCATGTCATGTTTCCCTTTCTGAAAAACGCAAGGTGAAAAGTTAAAAGAAATACAACTATATTTTTAGACAACAGTAGTATTTATTATTCTAGCCGAAGTGTTTCATTTTAATTTTCCATATCTCCTTATGAAAAAAAATATATGTTTATACAACCTAGAACTTAGTCTGCCCAAACGAGAGACTTGTCTCCCAGCTGTAAATGAGAAATTTAGCCAGTGCAGTACAACCTGCTAGCCTGGGGTCTTTAACGTGCATCACGCAGTAGTGATACACGACCACACGCCGGTACAATGCTCATCCATTTCCCCATGCAAATGCTAGGGTCAGTGGTTCTTTTCGGCCTCCATTAGAACAATTCCTGCAAACATCTGGTGGTAACGGAAATGTCATGCGAATTCAAACCACCAAGCACTACTTGTTCTGCGCATAATTTTGGAAGCATGTGAGGGATTAGGGCTCACCACACTGGATATAAGAAAAGCACACCAAAAGCCCTGCCTTGAAGAGATGTCAGAGGCTGCTGTAAGAGCATGGCGTAGTAGACACAAGTTTGTCTAGTCATTGCAGCATGAAATCATTTACTGCACATACACCGTTTCTTTAGAGCGGCTCTAGGCAAATATTTCATTGCGAGTTTTTAGTATCTCTGGCTTGTAGATTTCTCACTAACTAGAACAAAGCAGAATTTTTTTTCTTCAAATCTAGCAACTGCCATGACCTACTTTGATGATGGGCCATAAATCTCTAATTGGGACAAAGCCAAAGCTAAAACTAATAATTAGAAAGTTAATTTGTGAACTGAAGTTAATTACAGTGTTGCTAATAAGAACATTGCAATCACTCCCTGATGTCTGCCACATCCAACAATGTTATCCCCAAAAATGTTTCTTATCCTAATGTATTTTTCTTGTTGGAACTGTCTTTAGTCTACAAGAAATACCTTGTGCAGCAAAAAACATGGTGGAAAATGACAATTTCCCACCATGTTTCAACGCTTAAACTTTCCCGAGCAATGCACTTACAAGGCTAGCATAGTTTCCGCAGTACTGCAGCCCACATTGTTGATGGGGAAGGCGGTGAGGGGGCTTTGTTTTCCTTTTTCCGCTCAACAAAGATGACTTGAATCAAAAAAAAGAGGGGGACGTGTCTTATATCAAGTCTTCTTTTCTTTCTTTAGTTTTTCTAGGTTTGATTTAAAAAAACCATGAAAGCTACATTAATGCGATCTGTGCCGCTGAGTTATACGACCAGGGGGACATAAAATAAAAGGAAATCATCCCGGTAAAACAGATAATTTAATTTGTTCATTCACTTTTTAATTTGTGAAAATAAACCTGTGGTTCCAATGAAGAACTTGCTGAGCATCATCAAAAACCACTAAATCAGTACATTTGAGAAAGACTGAGCACACAGGAAGCATGGTAGTGTGCTAAAGTAACCATTCATGCAGCAGACGAAAGGCTGGCAATACAAAAACGTGTCGCACAGATTTTCCGTTTCTTGTCATCCACGTTTTCGTAACACCAGCCTTGTGCATGTCGCACAAGCGGCAACTTTAGTGGAGCTTCTGCGCTTCCCACGCTTTCAAAGTCTTTCTCAAATTTACTGATATAGTGGTTTTTGATGATGCTCAGCAAGTTTCTAATTAGACCCATATGTTTATTTTCACTAAATAAAATTTAATAAAAAATTTTAGTTTCAACTTCTAACCTGCTCCTTCTCGGAGCACTAGGAATGCCGCACCTGTACTGCCCTACGTGCTGTACAGAAAAGTTGACGCCGAGTATAACGAGTGCACGAGGGAGTTGCCGACAGCAGACCTGAATGTAGGTGTCCACGGGGAGGCTGACGGAAGGCTGCTGCTGCGAAAAGGGCTCTTCGTGATACACCACGAGGGGGGACTCCCGTCCTCCAGACACAAACTCTTGCCGCTCGTAGTGATGGGGCTGGTGCAAGGACACAGGCGCCCCACTGGCGTAGTCCACCTGTCGAGTCATCCACAACAAGTTGCCATTTTTCTGGTGAATGCACATACCTAACTGACAGCGTTTAGGATGTTTGAAAATCCCAATAGTAAAGATTCATTATTAAACGAGAAAAGAGTTGTCAAAGTAGTTTGATATATTAGGATAGTGCTATTCATATCTTCTAGGTGATATTTACATTAAAATTTAGGTGACATGGCTAAAATCATACACACAAATTTCCTTGCAAGATCACGGCCCATTTCTGAGGGAGGAGTTGCTTACTTATTGAAGAAAAAATAGGGTGCAGTGACCACGAAATGTCAAAAACATCTTGCATCAGGGAAAAACAAAAATGAAAGATGTTTACAATCCCCTGCAACGCCGAATCAGAGTGAAGCTCTTGACGAGGGGGAGGGGAAGGTAAGGAGAGGTGGGTGCTTTGTAGTAGGTGGGTTTATTCAGCTATGTACATAGAATGAGATCAAGTGATGCGTCTTGAGTCAGCCTGAAGACCAGCACGAGATGCAGAGCTCCCGCTCTCTCTGCGCTTCGTCATCTTCGAAACCCCGGCTAACCAACATCTCCCCTTTTCCTTATTGTCCAAAACAACTTGGTGGCTTGACCAATCTTCCCGCTCGTGTAGTGTACCCACGTTGTGGCTCTACTTGAACAGTGAGTGGTTCATCATCAACACTGAGTGGTTCATCGTCCTGGTGGCCTTTGTATAAGCTTGTACCTAGCAAATCATTGTACGACATCTCATTGTCCTCCTTGTTTTCGCTTCGATCAATAACCAGAAACTTTGCGTTTCGCCGGACAGTGCCGTCCTTTGTGGATACCCAATATGAGCGAGTACTGTCCCCGCTTTATTTAGGTCATTGATCCAGACTTTTTGTGATGACTGAAGCTCTGGCAGGTTCCTAACTCCATGATGCCTGTTGAAGCCAGACGCTTCCTTGTTTTTTGCTTGGCTCTCACTCTCCTTCAACAGGGAGAGGTCAGGTGTTTTTGGGTTGAGCAGGTGTGGTAGGACCGGCACCTGGGTTCGAATCTTTCGGCTGAACAAGAGCTCTGCGGGACTGAATCCACACGCTAATGGTGTAGCACGATATGCAAGAAGCGCTCTATAAAGGTCAAATGACTTCTTAAACTTCATTTTTGCTATCTTGACGGCCGTTTCTGCTGCATTGTTACTTTGAGGATACTTTGGGCTTGACGTGACGTGTCGAAAGCCCCATTCTTTGCTAAATGACACGAATGCTGATCGAAATTTGGGGCCATTGTCTGTAATGACGGTCTCAGGTATCCCGTGTCTAGCGAAAATCGACCTTGCTTTTAGAAGTGTTGTTTCCGGTAATTGGTTTTCGAGGAGGGCTACTTCGAAGTATCTAGAATAATAATCAGTGATAAGGAGATAGTTCTTGCCTTCCGCATAGAAGATGTCCATGATCAGCTTTTGCCAAGGGCGTTCTGGGAGAGGAGTTGGGATCAGTGGTTGGCCTCTGTGCTGCCTCTAGTGCAGACAGCTCCTTTCAACCATTTCTGTAATGTCTCTAGTGATGCCAGGCCACCAACACGACTCTTAGGCTCTTCTGAGCACTTGGCAACGCCCTCGTGTCCATTGTGTAGAAACTGCAGTACTGAAGGTCTCATTGAGAGGGGTACAAGGTATCGCGAGTTTCTCATTACGTATAATGCCGTCATACAATGTAAGTTTGTCTTTAAACAGCGAGTACTGAAGGCAGTCCTAAGGTGTTTTTGATTTACTTGTGGGCCACGCTTCGGTTATGTACTTTTTCAAAATGCTCATGATCGGGTCATTGTCTTGAGCTGCTGACAGTTGTTCCCGACAGACATCTGAAGCCGGTATGTGATGAACGAGAGCATGCTCGAATTCTGTTAACTCTTCTGCTATGCACAGGCCATTTTCATTCTTGAGAGGTTGTCTCGATAGGGTGTCTGCGACTACGAGGTCTTTTCCCGGAACATGTTCCGTTGTGAAATCGTACCTCATCATCCAGAGACACATTCGCTGAAGTCTGGGTGTAAGATCGTCCACAGGCTTTCTGCTAAACAGTGGTACGAGAGGCCTGTGATCAGTCTCAATGTGAAAGGTTAGTCCTACAAGATAGTCCTTCTGCTTTTCGCAGGCCCAGGTGATTGCAAACACTTTTTTTTCAATTTGAGAATACCCTCTTTCTGTTTCAGATAATGATTTTGAAACATGGGCAACTGGTCGGAGAGTTTCATCTTTCTGATGCTGCATGAGCACTGCTCCAATACCATAGATGGATGCGTCTGCTGATAATATTGTCGTTTTTTTTTTTTGGAGAGTAGAGTGCCAAGACTGGTTGAGATGTCAGGCTTGATTTTACCCTCTCGAATGCTTGCTGCTGAGGAGTTTCCCAGACAAATTCGACATCCTTGTGGAGCAGCTCTCGCAAGGGTTGAAGTACATCTGCTAGGTTAGGTAAAAATCTTGCAATAAAGTTTACCATACCAAGGAACCTCTTTAGCTCCGTTGTATTCATCAGACGAGGCATGTTTAAGATACTTGATATTTCTTTCATTATCTGGGCTTACACCCCTGTGATTTATGACATGTCCACGGAACTGAATTTGTTCCTGAGCAAACACGCATTTCTGTATGTTTAGGATGATCCCATTTTCTTGCAATCTTGTGAGGACCCTTCAAAGACAAATGTTGTGTTCCCTTCGTGTGTCGGCCCATATCAAAATATTGATAACGCACGTAACTCCTTCCAATCCTTCAAGAAATTGGTGCATCATTTGCTGAAAGATCTCTGGCGCGCAGGAGATTCCAAATGGTAGTCGATTAAGTTTGTACCGGCCAAACCGTGTCATAAAAGTTGTAAGCAGCGTCGACTCTGGGTGCAACTTGATTTGGTAGAAGCCTGAATAGGCATTGAGATGAGAAAATATTTTCGCCTGCCCAAGAGTCGCTAGAAGAGCTTCCACACTCGGTATCGGGTGATACTCCCTCAGAACACTTTTATTAAGTGGTGTGTAATAAACACAGATGCGAACATCACCATTCTTCTATGGAACTACAACAACAGGTGAGAAACAGCTTGTTGGTTCCCGAACTCTGGAAATGACACCTTTGTTCTCCACCTTTTAGATGTGGAGCATCTCTTGCTCGGGTCTATGTCCCGCGGCGTCGTAGTCCGCACTTACACTATGCAAGCGCAACTCTCCTCCTTCATTCTCTCCAACAGCTGCGCGTTACTCTCTCCGCTCTCTCTCTCTACCAGCTGCGTGCACTTTGCGTGCGTTCGCTTCTACTCACACCGCGCGCGCATGCGCAACTCTCCTCCACTAGTCTCCTCTCCTTCAAGTGTGAATATAAGCAGCGGTAGCGCGCTGCGCGCGTTCCTCCTTTGATTTCCTTGCTCTCAAGACTCTGACTGACTGACTGCGCGCGTTCAGTTCACCGCTGTTGACTCCACTTACTCCGTTCTTCCAATGAAGTGTGATGGAAGCAACAGCCCCGTCAGTTAGTGGGTTGGCGCAAGCAAGCGTCAGCACCACCCCACAAACCAACGTAATAACACGCAAGTTAACAACGTTACTAACACTGTTAATAACAATCCGCGATGCTCCGCATCACCCCATGGTTCCCCTCGGGAAGATGGTGTAATTTTTGAGCTGTTCAACTGCTTTCTGGAGTGGAACTGGTATGCGTCTCAGTGACGATAAGGCAACTGGATAAGCATCAGGTTTTAGCCTTATTTCACACACGTATGCAGCTTACCCCAGAACCTTAAAAAGCAAGGGGTACTTCTTGATTGGATTGAAAGCTCCTGAAGTCGACAGCTGATTTACTCGTTGGATGATGTTTAGGGCTTCTATGAGGTCCAAGCCAAGCAGTGGCTCATTGACATTTCTTGTTACATAGAATGCGCCCGTTGTATGAGAGTCCTTGAACGTGACCGTTGCCCGCAGCACGCCGAGAACATGCAGGCGTTCTTTTGTTGGTCCAAGAAGAACTTCATCCACGTGTCGAAGACTGCCCTGGTCTTGCAGTTTGAAGAGTAGGTGTTCTGGCACGACAGAGACGTCAGCTCCAGTGTCCAAACGAAAGCTCACATCTTCGCTCCCAATACGAAGCAAGACTCGCTCGCCATGGTGCACATTTGCCCAGGGACATCACGGTTCCTGTGAAGTAGAAGTCTTCGTCAAGGTGCCTGGAAGTTGTAGGCTCCGAGATTTGATGCAGGAAGGTCGACTTCGATTTGCAAACGCTTGCGAAGTGACCTGGCTTTCCACATTTGTGACATTTTCTCTTCGATGCTAGGCAGCCTTTTCGTGGATGAACGTCATGATTGCCACACCAATAGCAAGCTTGGGAATCTTTTGCTATCATGCTGTGCTTTTCTACAGGTGTGGTGTGCCTCTTGGATATCTTGAGGTGATCGACTTGAACCTGATCAGGTTGCCTGGCATCCTCTTGTCTGAGGGCCCTCTTGTTGTTTTCCGAATATTTCCGTTTGCTTCGCGAGAAGAACTGGTCTCTCTAGCGTCAATTCACTCTCTAGTTGCAGCCTCATGGACAGTCATTTATCGCAAACACCAACGACAATACGGTCGCGAATAAGCTCATCGTTGATTTGGCCATACTCACACTTCTTGCTCAGTGTGTGCATGCAGCACCGTGATAAAGTCCGCTACTGGTTCACCATCTTTTTGGATACGAGAAGTGAACATAGCTCGCCCATAGACAATATTCTTTTTGACAATGAAATGTGTCTCGAAAGCTTGGATGACGGATAAGAAGTCCTCAGCTTCAGAGGTCGGAATCTTGAGCATCGCATAAATTTCCTCTGCTTTAGGTCCCATCAGGTAAATGAGAGAGTTTACCTGGTCGGCCTCAGGCTTGACGTGCAATCCAGATGTCGATCGAAATTGCTCCCAGCGGCGCTTCCATGTCATCCATTGTTCCGGATGAAAATTGAAAGGTTCGGGAGCGCTGAGCTGATATGGCATCGAGGGGGTGACTTGTACCGATGAGGTGGCTTGTCCAGATTGCGTCACGAGCAGGCCTGGTTCTGAACGATGTAGTCAGGAAGACCTAGTGGTTCTTTGTGAACTGGGCCGCTCACTTCTGGCGTCGAAGATAGCTGACGAGTCCCAAAACTTCTGACACCATGCTTTGTAGTAGGTGGGTTGACTCAGCTATGTACATAGAATGAAAGGAAGTGATGCGTCTTGAGTCAGCCCGAAGTCCAGAACAAGATGCAGAGTTCCCGCTCTGTATGCGCTTCGTTGTCTTCGAACCTCCTCCTCATTCATACCATAACCTCCCCTCCTCCTCTCCTGCTCCCCTCCCATTTATAATCGGTTGCAAGCTAAGAAAAAACCGGAAATGCCTCTCAGAGGAAAATGTAATCCTACGCCGAGAAACGCCAGCCAATTGTTTTCATGACGTCACGATTCTGTGGACCAATCGCGATCCTTTTGAAAAAAAAAAGCTCAACATGGCTGCTGGCCTTAGCAACGCGATGCTATAGTTTCTCGTGACAATTATTCTGCTTTTTTGCACCGTGTTTTACGTGCCCAAGGTTAGGCCACGAAATCTTGATGGTATCGGCTTGCGTTTGCAGCAGTTTTTGCGCGACAACATGAGAAACCAGCGACGCTATCGCCAACGAAAATTTCGAAGCGGGCGCGAGGCTTAGCACTGCTGAGAGGTATGTTAGACGGTATGTTAGACAGTATCTTGGACAGAAAATGAATTGTGAAGACGGTACATTGGACATGACTTTCTTTCTTTCTTTACTAAACAGCTATTTCGTTGACAAAAACGTATTCTAACTTATTTAAATGTCCTGAATGAATTAAATAAATATTGTAGTAGTTTAAGACAGGTTTCCTGGAGGAAGAAAAAGCAACGTTGCTAGCAAACTACTTTCTCGACGGCGGAGGCACTTCAGATGGGTGCAATGCGCTTGTGGGTGGAGCTAAAAGATTGTTCTTAGGTTGCATCCGACTATAGCAGGGAAATGTTTCCGTTAAATATAACAGGGATTTTTTTCGCTAAATTTAGTGGGAAAAAATTCCTCTAAATTTAGCGGGCAAATTTTTCCGCTAAATTTAGCGGGGAATTTTTATCGCCAAATTTAGTGAGAAAATTTTTCCGCCAAATTTAGCGGGGAAATTTTTCCGCTATATTCAGCAGGGAATTTTTTTGCTAAATTTAGTGGGGAACTTTCCCGCAAAATTCAGCGGGGAATTTTTTCTGCTAAATTTAGCGGGGAATTTTTTCCACTAAATTTAGCGGGAATTTTTTTCCACTAAATTTAGTGGGGAATTTTTCTCACTAAATTTTGCAGTAAAATTTTTTCGCTATATTTAGCGGGGAAATTTTTTGCTTGATATAGCAGGGAAATTTTTCTGCTACATTTACCGGGAAATGTTTGCTGCTAAATTTACCCATAATGCAACGTGCAGTTACGCCGACGCTGCTGAAGCTGGAAACGGGCACCTAAGAGCTGTGCTCTAAAATTGCTCAGTTTCGTGCATGTGTGCTGAAATTTACCCTTAAGTAAAACTCAACTCCATCCAAACTTAAAATCATGGCCGAATGCCCTTATATTTAAAGAAAGCAACTGAATGCAGAAGCCCACCTAAGAAGTTGGAAGATAAGTTCAGTGTCCCCTTTGAAACAGAGGACTAAATATATGCAAAAACAATGAACCTCGGGTGAACTAAATCACAGACTGACCACATACTCATGCCTGTATATTCCAGTATTTAGGTATAGAGCAGCTTCAGGCATTACAAGAGCTAAGAGGTAAATTTCATTTCACTTTAAAATACCTAATTACCTACCAAAATACTATGATCTGTGCAACAGGAACCATTTCCAGTTATCCCAACAAAAGGGGCATACACACCGCCATGCCGACGTCAGCGTAGGCATGTGGAGGCCAGACGACCTCCGCCGAAGGGCCCCTGGAGCTCGAAGGACTGGTGTCAGATTCAAGTTCTGACGACTTGACCCCCATGGATGCCTCCCCCATCCTTCAGCCACCTGTGGTAGCAGGAAAACACAATCTTGCTAAAACAACTGAAAAATCACAAGAACAGTAAGCGCAGACAAAGGACAAGTAGAAGACTGGACAGGACAAGTGCTTGTCCTGTCCAGTCTTCTACTTGTCCTTTGTCTTTTGCACTCCCTGTTCTTGTGATGTTAAACCAACTAGGCCGTCAACTTATATTGTTACAACCGAAAAATTTTGAAAGGTCAGTGTGCAGCCTGTTTTCTGCCAGAAAGAAAGTCCTGCTATAATCCATTTCACAACAAGTCCAAGCACAAATGACGCTACAATGCCACAGAGCCAATCAAACGCTAGAGCCGGAAGTGCATCATCATGATGTTCATTGCCATTGTGCGTTTGCTATACACGGGCTAGACACTCGCACAAAGTGAATGCATTGTGATCCTGTGCGTATTTTTTTCTGTGCGCGATTGGTTTAGTCAGTGACGGTAAATGCACAAAGACAATGAGCATGTGACGACCCATCGACTAGACTTAGAGTGAAACAAAATATAGTGTTTCCTCTTTCTCACAATGTGGGGAGAGAGGCAGAAAGAAGAGTCAGGAAATGTGGAATGTGCCAAGTGTACATTGGCCTCTGAGAGAACACAACTCCCTTATTAACAAGGAGCGCATCACTACAGATTAGGCCTGGGCAACTGATTGATCATCCTAGATCATCCTTCTGATTAATCAATTAATGCTTTAATTGCAATTAATATTTTTAATTGGTTAATATTGGTTGTAATCTGAGTTAGAAATTTCAGAGAGAAAGCAAAAATACTTGCTTTACTACTTAATACATTTATTCATTTTAGGAGGCAGCACCGTTGTATTCCATGGTAAAACACTTTAGTATTCATACTTAAAAAAAATTCGATACAAGGGAAAACGAAGGGACAAACAGTACTCAATGAAGTCTTTTCCCTTAATTCACCAGCTAGTCTGCGCCATAACCCTTATTTCTCTCACTGTAGTATTCCGTATGATTGTAACCCAGATAATTACCAAGTTACAAAAAAAAAAAAATAATATTTTATTGTATTAAGTTGTTTGCCCGCATTTTCTTTTTGTGGGAGGTACAGCATCAAATGTAAAAAAAGACTACATTCTGCCGTTAATGACATAGCAAGAAATAGTAAAGAGAAAAATTCTTAATTTTGTCACTTTTTTCAGATATCTCATCTAAATTCACAAACTAATCTATTGAAGCGTAACAATTAACGGGCGCTAACATTTTTATTGATGCATGCCATGGATGTTAGTTATGTGGTACATATAGTATATAAATTGGTGATATTTACTATAACATTAATATCACAGGCCAAGTTAGTAAAAAAAAGTTACAAATGTTCAGATACTTGAAGTTTCTTAGCAAGGCTGATTTATTTTGAAAATCTACATATCAAACAGAAATGCCTATCCAGATGTTGTAAATCATATAAACAAGTATTTCAGTGTTCCTCCAGCTCACTGAAAAGTGGACATAAATTTGTTTAGCTTTCTTAGACATACTTGAAGCTGTCAGTTAAACATCCTCTTTATGTTCAGTGCTTGGACCTTGCGCTATAGTGCACCGGTTTAATTGCAATATTGCTAGTGAGCTCAGCAACAACATCAATAACAGAAATATACCTCCATGAGGTAGTACTTCCTTGACCAAGGGCTAAAATAAAGCATAAGATTCAATGACATTGAATCTCAGAATGTGCCAAACCAAACTTTATGCTTCTAAGTTGGGCAGGAGAGATAACTGCAGAAGGCTCATGTAACAAGGAGCAATGCAAAAGATAAACTTAGTTAATTCAAATGTGTGTTCTTGCCATGCATGAATTATGTACAGCACAGCTAAAGTTTCAGTGAGGTATGGTTTGCCAGGCAGTGGGTAAATCAGTAATCACTAAAACATTGTGAACTATTCGACTTTTTCCAGAAAGGCATGGAAGTGTTCAAGAAAAGCTTGAAAGAATTGCAGTCTTCTGACCTGCAATAGTTTCCAAATTGTCTACAATGCTCCTGTACTAAAGTTTAAAACAGTGCTTGGCAGAAAAAAAAAAAAGACCGACTGTTTTAACAAGTTTTTTACCATTTCAATAAAGCTGTTTTCTGTTTAGCATGTTTGATTTGCAAATATAATCTGGAAGGCTATGAGAAAGAGATAGAACTTCAAGATGTTTTAGAACTTATATGTGTCCTTAAAACTTTTTAGCTGATCAGCAGACTAGTAATGAAAACATTCTGTACTAGCTACGAGTTAGAAATACATTTTATTTGTGCTTGTTGGTACAAGCTCAAAAACTAAATTCAACCAACTTGCTGCAAGCCGCCAGTTTGTTGAAGGTGGACCCATAAAGGGCCCATGAAACGAATTTTGGGTTGGGATAAATCATTTTAGATTGGGATTTTACTAATAGCACATTGTTCAGTGGGCCAAAAGAAAAAATGTAGAAAGTCAAAAGCCTGACTTTCAGTGCGAAAATTTGAAAACACAGCGAACTATTTCGTACCTCCTCCCCTTCGTAAGCTCTCTGCCTTTTCACTGTGATACATCCGCGGTCCCAAAAGCGCGTCATTGAGTCCAAACGCTTGTCACACAAAACCGGACCTCACTTAGTGCCTTCACCCCTAAGCTGACATTGTGGTGGAAGCTACGTGCTTGCCGGACCAATCAGCCACCTCTCTTTCATCACCTGACCTCATTTTCTGCGCGTGGGTATGCACGAAGGAGCGTGATCACGTGGCAAGTGTGGCTGGCCCAACGAGCACGTAGCTCCCACAGCACTGTCAGCTTTGGGGTGAACGAGTTGGGGAAAGCAACCTTTGCTTGAATTTTGAGCGACGGGTTAATCTTCTAGGGGGACAATGGCTCTGACCGGGTACTCAAACCAGATTCCGAGCAAAAGGGGCTTCCCCTCTTTTCGTCTTCTTGAACTGTTTGGTGAAATGCGGGATTTATGAGTTGAGGAGGAAAGCTAAAGAGGAAAAAGTTGGAAAAGCGTTTCATGACCCCTTTAAAGGCCGACTTCGAGGGCAACTCCAGTCAATATTTTCAAATTTGGAATTCCGACGGTTTTCAGCTCAGTCCGTGTCCCTGAATCACAAGGTATAATTTTTCTTCTTCTCGATATTATGTGTCGTTTTATAAATATCGTAGCTCAAAGTTTGATTTCGGGCGTCTACGGCAAAACCGAAACTGATCGTCAGCTGTACGGCCACAATGTGACGTTACCGTGGTGCTCTGGCACGCGGTACAACATGCGGAATCAACTGCAGTACTATTGCGACGCCCCCTAAAGAGCAGCTGATCGTGTCGTTAAAATCGGTTTTGGTGGAGCATGCCGCTTCACTTTGACAAAATATTTCGGCTGTGATCATATCTCGTGCCACTAAAGCGATACTGGCCATTTATTTTGGTTTTGTTTTCGACCAGAGTTGCCCTTCAAAGATAGGAGAACTAGCCAAAGGGCAATCTGGTCAATCAGCTGGGAGATGGTTTAAGATGCATATTTTTGATTACTGGTAGGAGTGTGTGAATATTCATAATTTTCAAATAGTGAGTTGAATATCGCCTATTTGGTTCATTATCCAAATCGAAAAGTAATTTTCGAAGTTTACAATATTTCTTGAATAATTTTCGAATAGTTTTAACAGATTGGCATCACATTCTTCCTTCGCAAGTTCCTTAACGCTCAACTGCCATATGTGCCATAAAATGTCATTACCGTAATATCTCAAGTAAGTGTGCCTAAAATCAAGAGAAAAACATGAAATACAGGGAGTGGGCTATTGTTCAATGTATAACCAAGAAAAGTTGAAAAAGAAAAAAAAGCTTGTAGCGAAAGAATGTGAAAGTTTGTTTATGCTTGGTTCACTCGCCCTCAAGACCTTTAAAGGAACACCCGCTATCACTGTCAAACAAAATGATCACTTCGCCACCTTCAAGCTTGTTATCACAAGCTTGTCATCGCAGCTATGAACCAAAAATGACTGTTCTGCGCAGTCAGCATTTATCGCCCGCCTAACTGTCCTCTTTTTCCTCCGAGGTCACCATTGGCCTGGGCAGTGCAATTACTAGAAGTGGGCTATTTTTCGGTGTTTTAGAAAAAACACAGAATCTTGCCAAAAGTAGGGGTGGGGTATCTCTTGGAATATTAGGGTAGTCTCTTCTTCCAGGCACGATGACCATATGCGGTACTGGCTTGTCTCCACTCCTGGTGTGCTGTTTCACCTTTCTATTGACGAGACATAGGGTTAACTGCACACTTTCCCACAAAACTGCTCTTGCATATGCTTTCAGAAAGCATACTGGCATGAAATTTCTGTCTATAAATCAATGGATCTGGTTGATATGGCACTGCCACTCAGCATGAGCAAAGTAGAACTAAGAAATGCTACCAAAAAAAAGCAGTGGAGAGTGAAAGTTTTTCAACCGCCCCGGCACTGATTCAATGAAATGCCTCATGTCATCCTTCAAACGACAACTTGCAGATTTTGCATCCATTTCGTCACATTGCTGAATTCTTGTCATCTGCACCTGGTCTCACATTCCAATTTCTAGGGAACTATGTATGCTGTAAACCACCTACTATATTCTAGACAAAGAGGGCTTCTTTATGAAGGTCTACCCAGTATTCAAATTTGACTGATATTCTTATGGATTCATATTTGATCCAATTTTAAAAATTACTGTTTGCATACCCCTAAATATTGGCTTTCCTTGCATTCCATCTTTGGCCTTATTTTTCTTTTTTTTAAGGGTTAAATGGCATGCAATTACAACATTCAATTTTTTCAACCAGATTCGTATATACCCCTTCCCCCCCCCCCCCCCTTTTTTTTTAACTTACTAGGGCCACCAGTGGAACTCATACAATATCCCGTGCTTGTGTCATCCCTGGGAAATGTGAATGAAATGATGTACCGGCACCTGCCATACACAAACAACATTGCTGAGGCCTGGAGCACAGGATTTTCAGGAAGGACATAGTCATTTCTTCAGCAAATTATCTGCAGCACAGCATTGTTCGCACTTTGCCCACTGCCACTTTCCCCGTGGCTCTGAAGACGGAATGACAAAATGAAGTAATAGGTTTAAACAAGCCAGGGGTTTACCCTGGGTTCTCAGACTGTCAGAAATTTCTGTGGGATGCTCTAGGGGTGGTGGTGGTGTTAGACTAAACCTGGGGTGGTGTAGAGGGGTGCATGTATAAATCACTCGGATTGAAGCTCTCCAATTCACTGCATGTTAACCACAAAAGAAAGGGGTGTGAATGTGCAAATATGTTGCAATTAGAAAATGAAACCCATTTCAGTAGCGCACCCGAGGGCAAAATGACCGGACACTAATATATTTGGTTTCGGACAAAAAGCTAAATTATCCGAAGAGATGGGCTCGACTCCTTACAAACCAGCCTTGTCAAGTGAGAAGTGTGAATATGCGTTGGGAATGGCGCGGTATCGGCCATCGTGCGAAATTTCACTACGAGTGAGCACTGCCGCTGTTGAGCAAGAAAAATAAGCCAATCTCCCGTAAAAGCAGGCACGTGGAATTCCTGAAGCATAAGACCCGGTGTAGAAAGACCATTTTCATCGGTTTTCCTTGCGCATACTCTTTTATGACCGCCAAAGGTAACAAGCAGTTGAATCCAGTGTTCTTAACATTCGCTCGGCCTGTAAAGCGAACAGCACAATATTTCCTTCCCAAGCAATCACAACGACCGCTCAAAACACTTTCTAAAATTTACCGATTGATCGAGATAAACAGGCCGAACTAGCGGACCGCCACACCGGCCATCTGGCAAACCACCGCGAGGGAAATCCGAATGGCGCCCGTTTCTTTGTGGATCGCGACGCCGAAGAGGGCTTTTGATCCAGCGCGCAACCGCCAGTAAAGCCGGCGGCGAAGTCCTCGCCGTCCGCGCGCAACCGATCGCCGACGCCGACCAAGAGACATGACCACCCCTTGAGTCCGAATGGGTTAGCGTCTGTGCGAGCCGCAGGAAATAAGCTGGGAAACATAAAGGACCGTACCAAAGGGACGAAGGTAACGGAGGGTGGAGGGACGGTACGAGAAATGGAACCGTCCGAGCACCGTCGCGCCGCTTCGGGACGCTTTAGCGAGGCAAATTGACGGAAGGATAAGAAGCAAAAATATCAGGTACTTACCAGCGTCGACTACGACGTTCTAAATGGCTAAATTTTGCCAAATAACAATTGGAAGCATCCCAAAATACAATGGAGATCACCCTCCTCGAGTTGTGAACTTCCAAGTCTCGCAGAATCTCGCGGGAACGGAGGCGCGCCGTAAGGTGGGCGTGCCAGTTTCGTTTTAAAGGTCTTTGCTGTTTATTGATTTCGGCGGAGCTCATCGGCTCAGTTGACCGTTCTCTAGATTTTCTTTTTTTTTTTTTTTCGGAGGGGAAAGGGGGGTAGCAGTACATCTAACTTCATGCGCCCTAAATGCAACAGCTAAAAGAAAAAAAAAAGGTCACAAGAAAGTTTTGAAACTTTGCACTGAACTTTAATGAAAGCGCCCTTTTTGTGGTTAGTACCTGCGGGATGTCACTTCTGCAAACACTAAAATCGTCTACACACACAACGTGCGACTCGTAGTGAAATTTTTATTCCCATCCATTTAACAGTGCAAAAGGCCAAGTCACAGAACAACACTTCGCAAAACGCCATGAGGAAACGCGAGGTAAAGCAGAAAATGTGCCACTTAAAGAAAACGTTTAACTTATGTGTATGGCTGTCCACTAGCTTTCACCAGTGAGTGACAAACATTTACACAATTGAATAAATTGTAACAGTTATCAGACAAAAAATAGCATTATATATTTCCACAACATTTCAATTTTAACATCTTCTCCCAAGAAATATACACCAATGTGTATAGTTTCATTCATTTGCAACTTTTGTTTAAACAGCAAGCAGTTACCAACCCCAAGTGTGACAAAAAATGTGTTACCAGCCCATAGTAAGCTATGAGCTTCAATGCAATAAAAAGTACATGAGAAAAGAAGTAATAATTTACACAAGTCTGGAGAAAAACAATCTGAGGCACTTATGTTTATTCATTAACTTCTTAAGATAAATGAAACAATGTAAGGATATGACAAAATTTTATCTTTTGCAAAATTAATTGTATGCACACAGGTGATGCCACTTTTAATTGCTACAGTAATTCCCATGGAAAAGATAAAAATAAGAAACTGCAACAATAAAAAAAAAGCAAGATAAAAATATTAGCAACATTCTGGATGCTTGTCAGGACTGAAAAGAAACATTCTGCCAGCTTATCTTCAAAGCCTAACTGAGAAGTAGCACACCCTCTATCCAAATCAGAAAGTTCTAGTTGATGCAAACGTTTGTGACAATTCAGCCGAAGCGACGGACTCGACAGGAGTGGTTGGAGCGACGCCCACAACTTCCCAAATGTCCATCTGTGCACGTGACAGGCTTCCAAAGCCTCGTGCGAGCGAACGAGGCGAGGTGGAACGACGCAGCAGGGAGAGAGGCGAGGGGCGTGGCGTCCTCAGTCGTCCTGGGGAGTGGAGACGGGGTCGCCTGCCCCTGCGGCTTCCCTCAAGAGCTGGGCCAGCAGCTCTGCGAGGGGTTCAAAGGCGGCCTTGTAGCCCTGCTTGCTCAGGTGATTGAAGTCAAACATGTCGTGGTGGCTGATGGTGCCGTCGGGACGCACAAACCCTGGGTCCAGGTCCACCAGCTGAATGCCAGGCTGGCCCTTCAGCGCCCGTGACAGCAAGTTGTTCACCTGGAGCCTCTGTTCCCGCCGCGCATTGGCTTTCTGGCCGCAGGGAAGCAGTTTCTGCAGTAGTAGAAAAAATAAATATAATATATATACAGATAATTTTTTTGTCAACAATTCTTAGAAAATATATTTTTAAGGTGAGTAACTATAACCCTTGACAAGATGAGAATGGAGCTTCAGTTATCTTGCCTCCTGCGCAAGCATCCTACCCTCGACAATGCTATGGCATCTTGTGCATCTCAAGTGCATGTGCACAGCAAAAGCATGGCGGAGGGCATGAAGTGTGTGCCACAGGTTGGGCATTTAAAAACATGCCCCAAGATTCTTGCCTGGTCTTAACACCAATAACCCTGAATTCTTAATACAACACCATTAAAATACAAACTGGTCCCAATATCTGGATTTTGATTGGACATATTGATATGCTTGGGGAAAAAGTACTCTTTAATGAAACATAAATGGGTGAACTCTCGAAGGATCCTGCACTGATCAGAGCCGCGAGAAGGTTGCAGCATGTCGCATCAAGGACGATTTCAGAGCTTGAGAGCATGGTGCTTTAGGCTTAGCAGGGAACAGGAAAGTGGATGGTTTAAACTCTAGTAAGTAGCGCTGGGTTCATTTATTAAAGAGTAATGCTGCAAAGATATTGTCCTCATTCCCGAGAGGGAAATCTACAGTGTAGCAAAGAATCAAAAGTCAACATAGCAGGTTACCAATGAGCATCTAGTCAATAATAAGTACGACAATGCAGCGATACTTTTGGCCGGTAAAAATCTCAGGGGTGGAACTCCCGAAATGTATTTGGGAGCAGCCACGGGAGCAGCTGAAACTGCTGTTTTGGAGCAGGCGAGGAGCAGTTCAAATCAGTTTTCATTGCACTTCAGCCTGTGTCTTAGACAAGCACGGGAGCAATTTCAATTGTGCTTAGCAGCCCAGATGAGCATGAGTGGTTAGGAACCTATGTAGATGGGATAACAGTGTAACAGGTGCAAAAACTAGGCCTTAGTGAGAACAAAAAAGCAAGTACCATATGTTTCTGAGGATTGTGTCCTTGATATTTTCTGAGTGGCTTTCAGCTGCTCAAAATGCAAACCAGCACTGTTTATAGCACGACCCACACGTGCTCGTCACAGTAATTATATGTGCGAACCACGTGACGTTCGTAAGCAATAGACGTTCAGTTGCGCGGAGGAACAGGGCAACAAATTTTTAGTTTATCCTATTGTAAAACTCACTATTAAAGCATCAGACTACGATTAACGGAGTTATCATGTTCGAAGCGATGAGCCAGAGCAAGATTAAAGTACGTCGAGCAGATCTACCGCTCGCGTGAGAGCTGCTGGCCGGCAAGGATTCGGATCGCACAGCATCTCCAGTTCAATCAAATCACGATTTATCTTGCAGGAATGCGATTCTAACTTCTAACGATGAAGCACTAAAAGGAATCTTTCGCTAATGTGTTTTCAACAGGCTGACGTCCGGAACCCGGGCCGCAGACCCTCAGGCTATCTGACGCTTAACGACTCCACCTCGCCTCGGCCGACTTGCTTAACCGCTTATGGTTGAAGAATAACAATCCATTCACAGGTGATGTTGCGCTTCGATCCGACCCCTGAGTTTTTTTCGCGTGCTTCCGACTCGGGATACACAAGAAAAATAAATGGAACACAAAATCGCAAGGCCAACCAAGCTAAACGAGCTCATTGTTGCCAATCGAGTCAATAAAAACCGAAACCAAGACAAAATAGAATTATTTTGGCGCACAATGTGCGATTTGGAGTACAATGGCGCGAAGTATTGGCTGTGGCGCAGTTTCTGCCAAATGGCGCAGGATGGCGCAGACAAATGCGTCTGGCGCAGAATGGCGCAAATGGCGCAGCCGTTCCACCCCTGAATCTATTCATACAGTAGTGTTTGATTACATTTGACTATGAGTTACTGGAACATTCATACTTCATATGTGGCACACCAAGGTACTCGTTCAACAAGCACCCGACGCACTGCAGCTCTGAGCAAGTGGAGCAAAAGCCCACGCTGCAGAACCCAGTGAACTTGGGTTCAACCCCGACCTCTGCTTGTTTCGATATGGAAAAGCATTGTTTCAGTGTGCGGTTGTGTATCACTACTGTGTGATGCATGTTAAAGACCCCAGAATAACGGTCGTACAGCCGTGTCTAAATTTGACCTCTACAGCAAAACCAGTGTCACCATACCTCAAATACAGATCAACCTTACGCCATCTAAACATAGACATTTTTTTTTTTTAAACAAGTAGTTACACGGTTATGTTTGACATAGCCTGTGTGAACAACCTTTATTAGGAGCCAGTTGCGTAAAGATAACTGCTGTTTCACTGGGAGGCAGCGTTGCACTCGGGAACTACTTTCCGCAGCACTACAGAATAAGTGAAGAGTGTGCACACATAGCTCTGAAGGACGCACGAGGTGCTCAAGTGCATGGGCAGCCATAGTTTTGACTCCAAAACCCCAAAAATTATCCTTGGGTATACCACCAGCAGTATGACCCAAATTGCCATTTGTTCATTAGCCTCCATGCAGTGGAATTACAAAATATTGCTAGCATTTGACAAATGATTTGAATGGCGATCCTATCCACCTTGAGCGAGCCTGGACGACAGTCATACGATTGTTTGAAGTGAAGCTTTACTTTGACGTGCAACTGTTCAAAAATTTTCTTGTGCTTCGTACGAAAACTTTCTTGCTCCCTGTATCCAGAACCCCAGACAAACTCAAGGTTGGACCAGAGCTTGGCTAGGAACCTCTAAATTCGGAACCACTAAACCACCGATAATATACAACATTGTAGCCTGCTTACCAACACAACCACCTGCGCATTGGGCAAACGTTTCCTAATGGCCTCTGTACAGGCCTGTACGCCTTCTGCTACTGCCTCTGGACTGTCGCCAGAGTTGTTGCATCCAACAGACAGCACCACCACCTGCAGACAATTCAATAAAAAAAGGAAGCTGAAATGCTTCCCAGAGAAGACTAGAAGGGAGACTGCTGCACATCTGGTGCTCTTAAAGGCAGTAAAGCAACTCTCAAAGTTTCGTTTTATGGTTGTAGCACATCGACAAGGTATCCGACGCAATACTGAACAAATAATAATCTGAATGAATGTGTTCTTTGAACATCTCAATTGAACAAAACAAATCTTGGAGCTATCTTAAGTGCCCCATTCAAGCAAAAAAATTAGTAAACAATTTGCTCAAATAAGCAGCTTTTTTTTTTTTTTTTAAAGGAAGTTGACATAAATAAAGTTAATGACGCAGGCTAGCTGGTGAACGATCACTTAAAGGTATAGCTATGAAGTCTACATGTCTGAATAATAAATAAAGAGATTATTTTTTTGGAAAACACGTGTTTGGTAATCATCAGAAGGGGCAACGGAAAAGCAGTAATGCATAGATAAATTGTGTTCAGTGGAATTTTGTGGATAAGAATGGCTCCATGCAATGCACCTGCAAACATAACCTCCTGGGTGACCAGCATTTTACAAAGTGACGTGCTCACTTGTCCTATAGTGTGGCTCACATCTAACAAAAGAGACCACAAAATTACTTTCCCCTCTTTGGCTAACTACTTCTCCGACGTTTCACGTTTCATACTTTACGTTTTCAAAGCATGGAACAGAAATTTGCTCTTGTTTACGCTTGGTGGTTTTTGCAAAATATTTATGAGGCTTACACCCTGCTTCCTCCCCAGTTACTCCCCCCCCCCCCCCCCACCAGATGATCCCATTACTTAATGAAACAAACAAGAGAAGGACATCTCTTGGTGACAAATAATTTTCTTAGTCGAGCTTGTGGGAGTTGAACTCAAAGCCTCATAGCAAACCTCAGTAGCAATATAAAAAAAAAAAAAAAAAAAACTGCTGTGAAAAGTTATGTCAGAAACAATGCATCAGAAGGTGGAAAGGGGGGGGGGGGGGGATAATGGATGTCATTCTGACGAGATGATTGCACAATCCATTTGATTTCCTTTATTTTACCTCAAAGGCATCTAGTGATGCACAGCATGAGAGAGAGCAAGACAGTGGGAGAAGTTGCGATATGCATATAGTCACTCTCATTAATTCAAACTTGCGGATAACTAACTAACATACAGGTCCCGTCCTATGTGTCTCTACGGGGGAAAACTCCTGACAATTCAATCTTTGATTCATTCAAAAAATTTTTTGGCCCCCCTCGAGTTTGAATTAATGAAAATGTGAAAGGTATGATGCTTATATACACACAGGGGGAAAGGGACATCCAGTTTTCATTTTACGGTTTTAAAAGCATGCTTTTTGTTTACTTTGATTTTAACCGGACGAAACACGTAGCCTCCCTTTGTGGAAGAATCGTCAGGTGGCAATGCCTTCTGTCCCTGCTTCCCCACCCGGCAATGTCAATCAAAAATCAAATCGAGAGGAAAAAAAAAAAAATGTGGCAGCTACGATTGTAACGAACAATGCAATGCTAAAACATCTACTCTTGCTTTACGGATAGACTGACTAGAATCACATGTTCCCTATATGTCAGGAGTACGGTGCCACGATGGCATGACTCTCCATCCGGAATCGTGGGGGTCACGCTTGCAACGCACCTTGGAGCCGACGTTGTCCAGCTCGCCATTTTCAATCCTCCACAGCGCATTCTGCGTCCGATCTTCAGGAATGCCGAAGTTGAGGCAATGCAAAGGAGCAAACAACTTTTCCCACACCTGCCAGAAAGCAAACATTTGCTTTATCTTCCCACATGACAGAACAAAAGTAATATAAAGCTGCAAAGAAGGCTCGTTTACCTCGGACTGCTGAAGAAATGCTACCGTGAAGTCTCCGAAGATGACCACATCCGGCTCCTTTTCTGCACCCTCGGTCAGGAACACCTTGTGCTGTCAAGAAAGAAACCAAAACTAAGGTAGTTGTAGAACGGAAGCAGAAGTGCACGATTTTAGTTTCTCTTAGTTACACAAGATTTTGCACACTTCGCTCATTTCTATGCTGCACTTTAAGGATGGTGCAACGATAATTTTATTCACAATTCTTGGGAACACCACAGATCATATTGCTACTGGGGAGGAGAAGCTTTCCCGTCGTTATAATGTGAGTGGGCTTGGAGTGTTGGTAATCACTTGTCAAAGTAACAAAAAAAATCCGTTATTAGCCGTTATGCTCCCGAAACGGCAGAAGAAAAATATCTAGTAACAATACTCATAAATGCTCCTGTGCCTGGGTTAATCTGGGCAACCCTGAACTTCGCTCAAGCTAGTCTCGGCAATTTTAGTGAAAAACCCGAGACTGAGGTAATGACAGATGACGACAAGGAAGAGAAGGGGAACGTTCTCCTTTTCTTGTCGTCGTCTGTCATTACCCCAGTCTCGGGTTTTTCCACTAAAATGTTTCATATACACCAGCTCACTTGCGCCCTTACGTTCTAGTCTCGGCAAAGTTCCCGCTTGCCCAAGCTTTCTTAGGCAAAGCGCAACGTTGCCCAAACTAGCTTAAGAAACTCGAAACTTCACCAAAATCAGCTTAGGCAAATTTTGGAGTTTGCACGCAGACGTGAGATAAGGACAACTGGAACGACCAGTTACTGAGCAACGACGTGCAACACCGTGTAGTCTCACCCACGCAGGTGAGAAGACAGCGGCAATCGAGTTGATGGTCATTTAGTATTTTCGCGCAAAAGAGCAAACGCGCACGAGCTAATACACATTGCGCGCCTAAGCGACGCGAAGACACACGCAATAAGCTTCCATTGTGAGCAACACGTTTCACTTTTTTTGCTTTTCGAAAGCATTTTTTGACAGCAGCTGGAGTGTCTAAAGAACGTAGTACCCTGGCCAGCGAGAAGCGGTCCATGCGGTTTCAGGACACCCACAAACGTACGGGACAAGTGAAGGGAGCTCATCGTGAGCTGACAGGACAGGGCCAATCCACTTACCACTGACATCCACCGGTCGTCATCGTCCGAGCTCTCGCCGGGGGTAGGCACTGCGGCGGGATTCATGTCCTCAACGCGAGCGTGACCAAGAAGGTTCAGGATATAAAGCTCCCAATAGCTCGCTATGAGCCTGGTTTAAAGGCACATGCTTGTTTTCGAGAGCAAGTTGGTAAATACAAGTTTCAGGCGGCGTTTCTCACGTAAGCAACACGAGTGTTTACAAAATTAACCGATGCCGATGGCTACGTGCGATTGGTGCCCACAGACATGTAATAAGGCTTGTCAAGTTCAGACTTTTATGCATTTTGCGAGGAAATTTGCTGGCATTGGTAGTAAGCTAGAGTATTAGGACTAAGAAATAAAATACATTTGTTAATATTTAAAAAGTGTGTTCTTTTTTATTTAATATTGAATCTTTTATAGTCTTTTATTAGTAAAATTTTAATATATAAAACAAACAAGACAACGCAGTTTTAAGCTGGTTGTGGATTTGTATGGATTCTTCGCATTTGGCTGCTGTCAGGTTAGTTCTGGTTCCGCTTGTGCGCTCTACGGATCTACGCCTCAAAGCTACGCCGCTACGCCTCTGCGCTGTCCGTCGCACTTACGTTCTTCCGATTTTGCTTTGTGATTTTATGTTAATTTCACCCACTCGCAACACCCGATGGTAGGGAAGTTCTTATCAAGTCGAAACATGTGATCGAAGTCCCTGAAGTGGCTCGTGGCTCAGTGTATGATCGGTTCAAAGGGTCGCAACTCCGTGAGTGCCGTAGCAGCTTTAGTCCGTGCATCTTCGCGCATAGCCCTCAGTTTGAGTTTCAACATGACGACTTTCGAAACGTTGAAGTTCGACAACTTGGCGTTACGGCGGTTGCCGATCGACACAGAAAGTAGGAATTACGTGCGCACGGTTCGCGGAGCCTGTTTTTCGCGAGTTATGCCGACTCCCTTGAAGTCTCCGGAGATGGTGGTGGTTTCCGAAGACGCGATGCTGCTACTGGATTTGGACCGCGCGCAGTTCGAAAGGTCGGACGCAGCCGAGTACTTCTCCGGAAACAAACTTCTCCCCGGTTCCGAACCGGCAGCGCACTGTTACTGCGGCCATCAGTTCGGCTACTTCTCTGGACAGCTGGGCGATGGTGCCGCCATGTGAGTTACGTCCTTCAAGCATGCTTATACTGAATTCTTCAATCCACACGCGGTGTTTCGAAAGGCACACATGTCACAAAGTTCTGCCATAACCCCCTTTTATTCGTATATCTGTGTATTAAAAAGGCATATATCCACTATAACAACAATGTTGGATTAACCTGAGACTGGTGTAGAGATAGAAACATCAATCAAAACGTAGAAGAGACAGGAAATAGACAGGACGACGTCTCAAACTCGGCTAATTCGTTTATTTAGTTCACCTCCTTATATAGTCTTAATCTCAAGGTCAGTTCCACCAACACACAAGGACGAAGTCTATACAGTTCAAGCGCCACAGTTTCTCTCACAGAATGTAAAGCTTACAGGTCGACGCGCTAAGCTTGCAACATCCATTCTCCTTCAAACTTGAGCAATAGGATCTCTTTCCCTTTTATTCTAAACACAGTTCCCACCTTTGATTAAAAAAACACCCTCTCCACCTACTACCAAAAAACAAAACAAAAAACACGTCAAAAACCAAAAAGAAAACAAAACAAAGTGTGTCTTACATTTTTTTTTGACAATCGAAGTCAGGGTCGCACTTGAAACAACACATGTCGCACTTCAAGAAAAGAAGAAAAAGTCGTTACATTTTTAGAAAGCATCAACAAACCACTGGATGTCCATTGGACATCCGATAGATATCCGCTCAAGATATTCGGACGTCCCCAGGAGATCCGTAGCCGTCCGACGGACGTCCCCAGGATATCCGTCAGAGTGCCAAAGGTAACAAATTTGCATGTCCGTCGGACATCCGAAATGGGATCCTTCTGCAGGCCAATTTTGGATATTCGGATGGCTTGCCTGAATTCATTCTACTTTAGCCCAGATATGTTGTAAACCAGTCAAAATACTAACCTGAGCCAATTTCTACAGGGTAGAATTTCTTCGGATATCCCGTGAACATCCGATAGAGATCCGATTCAGATATATCGAACATCCGTGGGACGTCCGTATACGTCCAACGAACATCCCCAGGACATCCGACAGAGCGCCAAAGCGAACAAAATTGCACATCCGTTGGACATCTGAAACGGGATCCCTCTGCAGGCCAATTTCGGATATCCCGGGAACATCCGATAGAGATCCAATTCAGATCTACCAAACATCCGTGTACGTCCGATGAACATCCCCAGGACATCCGACAGAGCGCCCGAGCGAACAAAATTGCACGTCCGTCGGACATCCGCAATGGGGATCCCATTGCGGATGTCCGACGTACGTGCAATTTTGTTCTGCAGACCAGTTTTGGATATTCAGATGCCGCATGCCTAAATCCGTTCTATTCTTGCCTGGATATGTTGTAACCAGTCAAAGGACGACCCTGAGCCAATTTATATTGGCAATATGGTTTTATTACTACACTCGTGTCCTATCCATACAGGCGCTTTCTTCTGATACATCTCGGAGGTTGGTGTTCAATCTTTACGCATTGGGAAACCATCTTGCTTTGTGTCATCTTGCAGCTGTCTTTTCATGGCCCTAACAAAGAGCCAAAGAAGGTATCAGTGCGGGAAATTTCATAGTACATCCAGAAAGTACCTGTAATTGTGTGGCATACTGTAAGGTGACAATTGCCGGCGTGGGCAGGTCCTCTCTGCACCGTATGGCCCTAAGAAAACAAGTTGGAGACGGTATCGGTATGAGTGAAGGTAAATTTTGCAACACTTGGAAGTTACCTGTTGCTGAGTAGTGTAGTGTAAGGTGTTCGTCCCTGGCATGGCAAGGTCATTTCTGCACCAAGGTGAAGAAGAGATGAATGCACGCAACTTTCACACCAGAATCGCAACATACCTGTAGCTGAGTGGCATGGTCTAAGGTGCCACTCTCTGGTGTGCTGGGCAGCCCTTGCTACATCGCATGGACCTAAAAAATCAAGTTGAAGAAATAATGAGCGCAGACAAATTTCACAACACTTTTAAAACCTTTTAGTAGCCGAATAGCATAGTGTGAGGTACTAACATTTTTCCATAACATGGCAAAGAACAAACGCTGCAGCCCCGCAAGACAGTCAGAGCGAGTTGCATTACAATGTAGCCGTCATGCATTCCTCCCGTGGAGTGCTGTCATGTACTTTGCTCTGTCACTTTAATTGGCTCACGGGGGCCATATAGCTTTCACCCTTAGCCAAGTTATAGCGAAGCGGAGTGTACTATAAAGGTGCGTTCCCACCGGCGATGCGATCTAGTCGTGCGATAACTTTCATCGCAAAAGCGACCATTGCGGGCAAAAAGCGACGCGATTCGAGCAGTCGCGACTCGACCCGACTTTTTTGCGATGCGATCTAGTCGCGGAGCGGCTGAGCCAATCAACGACGTTCGGAGGGAGAGTTTTCGAGAAACGACTTGCCAACGAAGGCGTTGGACTCACTCATCGCGCGCGCCGGTGTGGCCATCTAATTTTTTTTGCGATGCGATCTAGTCGCATCACGCGACTGCTTACATCGCCGGTGGGAATGTGCCTTAAGAGTGGCAACTTGGGAGAGTTGGTGATGCATTACAACCAAAAAAAGTGCAAAAATTGGACGAAGGACGAGTGAGAGGAATGTAAGCGACAGGCGCCGACTTGCAACTAAATTTTTAATTAGGGAAAAACATGAAACCCTCGAACCACCAAAACATGAAACACCGCCAATCTTATCAATGTGATTACAGTATTGCTTCATAACGATGTCCTTATGAAGCAATATTGTAATCACATTAATAAAATTGGCAGTGTTTCGTGTTTTGGTGGTTCGAGGGTTTCATGTTTTTTCCTAATAAAAAATTCAGTTGTAAGTCAGCGCCTGTCGTGAACATTCCTCTCACTCGTCCTTCGTCTCATTTTTGCACTTTTTTTTGGTTGTAACAGAGTGTAGTCTTTGCCGTGGGGAGCTCATTCCTACATCTCGTTACCCTAACAAAACCTTTTGAAGGGATGAGTGCAGACAACTTTCATTAAGTAAATTTTACCATATTTGCCACACAGTTTGATCTTGAGGCGAATATTAAAGATGCCTATAAAACACTGGTTCCATACTTAAAAAATATGGCACAAAATACAAACCCTTGAACTGTAATTTTGTAGCTAATTACCAAAAAATGTTGCTTCACAGCTCTGGAAACAAATAGGCACATATAACAATGTTCAAACTTGCCTTGTACACAACTTGACTGGTAGTAAAAAAGGATAGCACATTCCATAGTAGAAATTACCAGGGGCATTTTTATGGTCCATTGGCTCTGTTAATGCCTGCTCACTGGCCTTTCCTGAAAATACAAAAAAAAAATGGGTTCAGTAAAAAGTCAAAAATAAATTTTTTATCAAAAGTGGAGTGCCACTCAAATACAAAAGCAGAGCATTAAATGTACTTGCACACCTTCTTTCCCACAAATCCACAGTAGGCCATTTCCTGCCATCTATGGAGTGCATCCAGTGTACGACGAGGCACCAAGAAAGTGATCCGTGCAAGGAAATTGAACATCTCCATGTTGAAATTACGTTCTTAAATTGCATCATACTGTAAGCCCCGTAATCGTCTGGGTGCACTTTGCAGTGAGTGGACTAGAATGTGCTCTGCAACAGGGAAGACGTGCATGCATTTTTCAGAGGTGGATATATATAGCGATGTGAATCACGAAACTGCCAAAGAAAAGTGCAGACATGATGGTGTGCCTTCATGTGTGTGGAGATAGTATATAATGAACATCAGAGTTTATGTATGGTATTAACAACATATATCTGATTAAATGAGAATCTTTAATTTTACTGTGCTAAACACTGCGCACTATGCAGCTGCTTAAAATCCACTGTAGGAATGCAAATACGGTATAGGCGCTCTTTCGCATTTTGCTTCTGCAGAATCGAGTCCAGCACCAAACTACACCCCATGAAATCACACATTGACCCACCATGATCCACTTCATTCTAAACGCGAGGCTTTCAGCGCCCCCGCCAAGCACGCGCGAGCGTGCAGTGCAAGCAAAGGTTCAGTGGAACATGCTTGTGCTAGTAGCTTCGGCTTCGTTTGCACACGAAGTGAAACAAACATTAGTAGCTTCGATAAAAGCCATTCATGTGTAAACAAAACACGCAAAAAAAAAATTACGATTGAACTTTGGAGAGCAAATCCCTTGGTCTACTTTATGATTAAATAAGCCTGAGACTGAGGAACACATATAAGGGGAAAAACACACACGGCCCCAAACATAGCTGGCGTTCTAGCCGAACTCGTTTGCACCCGAGAGACCAAGCAGCCCTCTGACACCGTACCCGGGCTGGACGGCGCGGCGTCAGGTCCACACCGACGACGCAGCAGCTTCACCGCCCTCACGTTCTCAGGCGTCAAAAACATAATTGTTCACTGTCCCTGAGAACAGCCCAACGCCTAACTTCTAAAAGGTCACTCACCTTCCGATTCCCTTGTAGCCGTGCTCGATGAAATGGAGAACAGTGGCGAGACGGAGGCTGTCAATCACCGGTCCTAAATCGAGACTCGCACTTGCTTGCTCGCACAGGCTTGAGAGCGGCTCATTCGTGTCCGCTCGCTTTTGATCTTTATATTTTAAAAGTGACAATAACACTCGCGAAAAGAGAAAGCGAGCGCGGTAGCAGGATAACAGCGGAGACAGCGGCGGCGGCGGTACCGGCGGCCCGAAAAAGGCGCCATTGGCTAGAATAATTCTGCAGTAAATACATTGAAGCTTTTTCCTGATATTTCCAGATATTACCTATTTATTTAGAGCAATTTCCTTTATAACTGAATATAAAATGTCGCTGAATTTATTTTGTTAGTAACTTTTTAATATTTAGGGTCTACGCGTTTACTTTTCATTTTTCTCATTTACTGCGGAGAAGCACGCCTCAGAAGCTAGGGAAGTGCAGCTTCCAGTTTCCTCCTACCATCGCGACGACGTTAACGACGCGGCGCGTTGCGGAAGAAAGGCAAACTAAGTACCGTGTTGGCGCGGCACTCGCAACAGATGGCGCGGTACTCGCCACACATGGCGTATCCTCCCCTCCAAACACTCGCAAAAACCGCCCGCCAAAACGGTGCCCCCCTCTCCGTCGTCGTCTTTTCTTTTTATTTTTTGTTTTTCCCGACCGAGCTGTTTTGACGTACGCTTTGTCCGAAGGCACTAAAGCTTCCCCTCCCACTTAGGGGGTGCTTTGTGCAAAAAAGTAAGACACGGATTGCGCTTTTGTAGTGGAGCACTATCGCCACTGAAGCGGCGATACTAAAAATTGGAACCACCACAAAGTCGACGTTTCAAACGTGCTACGCAGCACCGCTTGAGATTTTTGTTGTAATGCTGTAAGACTGCAGCATATTCGTTTCTCTTACCAGAAGTAAACAAAAAAAAAACACGTCACTTTCTCCCGGAATACCGCGATTCCGCCGTGTAATCGCAAACCAAAAATCTAACTATTTCCCAATCTGCAGCCGCGTATGGCGACAACGAGAACCATGGCGTGATACACAAGATTTTAAGTAATTTAAAACGAAAAAATACTTTTAATAGTCCGTATTCAGTACCCTAGCTGAAATGCGGGAGAAGTGATTGTCAGAAAAAGCGAACCAGCTGTTTAGAGCGTGGGTATCAAGAATAAATGAGTCTTACTAAACAAAATAATGATAGCTGAAATCTTTAAAAACGAAAAACAAAAAAACACTATCAAGATTTTTTTTTTTTTTTAGAATAGTAAAAAAACATTAAGTTACATCGCTAACCCCACCCGGGAGGGAAAAATATATTTGGAAAAGGATTGAAGAAACAATTGACCCATCGCAATACGTTTCTCTAATTAACAAACGAAGTAAGAGGGGGAAAACATCTTAAACAGTCGACTGAACAAATCATTAAAATCAATTTTGGAGCGATGTATGGCCCGGGGATAATAACAAACTTTTTGGTTTTTTTTCAATTACGAGTTGATGAGATCAGAAGTATTTGTAATGATAATGTGGCTAGGGTGACCAGACGTCCCGTTTTGGCCGGGACAGTCCCGTTTTTGAGATCCGCCTCTGCTGTCCCGTCTTTTTGTCCTAATAAAGAATCATGTCCCGTTTTCGAGACATAATTCTTTTCTTTTTTTTTGTCTATATAATTGCGCAGACTTTTACAACCGAGCCTTATAAGAAAAAGTCCTGCTTAGGAAACTTCAGTCGTCGGCAAAATACACCCACACCAACGAAGGACGCGAAGCAGTGTGACTGTTTCCTAGACTAGGGCTTAGCGCAATATGGTAACGTTTTGAAATGAGAGCAGTTATTTCATTAAAATTTTCCCCCAATCTCAATTTTTAGCCCCCGCCCCCCACTGGGATGTCCCGTTGTCTACCTTGAGGAATATGGTCACCCTAAATGTGGCATATGAACAATTAAGTTTCTCAAAGGTTGATCAGTAAATCATTTGAATGTAGGCAGTGAGATGCATCCGTATTTTCTTTTCAATTTCTTATATCTTGTCACAAATGCGGCTAGGATTCCGCGTGTTTTCGGAGTTTATTTCTCGTGAATTTGGAGGGTGTTTTGGGGGGTTTCATTTTCGCTGATAATTGTGGGTTTGTCAGAGTTTATTTTTGTCTAATTGCGCATATTTTAAATTCGGATTTAATTTTCCTGTGTATTTATAATAATAATAAAAAAAAATTCAAAAACAAAATAAAGTCTGGGTACCGTGACCCACTGTCCTGAAGGAACCTCAAAGGGCAAAATTAACCTATTTTTGTGAGTGGTTCTATATATTTCAAAGGAAACTGAAGAGGCATGCCCTCAGGACCAGTGACATTGTGCTTATATAAAGGTTATTTGTAAAACACCGTCTTTCTTTCTTTTTTTGTCTTTTTTTCTGTCGTTATGATTTCGAAATTTTGTGTGTTTCAGAAAAATCCTCAATGACGGAAAATGTACCGGCGATTGTTCTTCGATTTTTTTCGAGAACCCTCACGAATGACCGTCAGGCAAATAAATCCTAAAGGAAATGGAAAGGAAGGCGGAGTTTTGACGACTGTCATGTTCGATTCGCGATC